GAGGTAGACGTGAGGGAGGGATAGGCATCCCCTGTTGACCGATCACTCCCCCATGGGTTGTATGTATGGACCAGGTAGACAAAACATTTAGTAGTCAAATTAAGTATAAAAACTAAGGCTCTATCATTGGTATGAAACCTGTCAGCTAAATTACACAATCAATGGTAGGTCATCATTTCCTTATTAGGTAATAATTATAATGACCAGAGAATTTGCGAAACCAGGAGATGCATTTTTTTTTAAACAAAGATTTCTTTGGTAAGTCCCAAGGTCACTTTTAGAAAAATGGACATGGGAAATTTGCAGTGGAGAATATAACTGTGAATTCACTAATCATTGTATTGTATAAAAAAACCATTTGCCATATTTATTTAATAAAAAAGCTATTTGGTGCACAGTTGAAATAAAACACCAATCTCTATGATACTCTCTGATTAAAAACGAGATCTATAGCTGAATAAGCCACCATTGTTAATCTTAAAAAAATTCAGCATCAGGTTTCAATGTCAGCATGAGATATAGTATTTAAGATATAATGATAAGCATAAGGTTTGATAGTGCAGAAAGGACTAAACACATGTATAGAACTTTAGGGTTTATAAAACTAGGAACTTTATACTATGGAGAAATATTAATCATGATCTGACCATGTAGACAGCATTCCTAGAGTTCTGAAAATACTTATAGGATTTTATTTTTGGGGCAGGTAGTATATTTATTTGGTATTAAGTATTGTGTGAAGTTTTATTTCATTGAGTAAAATCTGATTGAATTCACATACACTTGCACAAAGATATAGTTGTGTGTTATGTGTTAGAAGATTGAACTATTTAAAAAAATTCAGCATCAAGGATAATTTGTGCATAACGGGCTTTGCCCGTTCTGCAAATTATCCCATGTTTCCCACTATCGTTGATGCCCTGGCATACTATACTAACTAAACGGTGATTCCTTATATTTCCATTTCATTGTGAAATAAAATTGTAGATTTAGACTTTAAAAATGTTGACATAGATTTAAATTACACGAGGACTCCCATACCAATTTCAATAGTCCACGCCCACTGAACACAAAGGCAGCTGCACGAGATTTCCATTTCTAATTTTTAGGTCACCTGAGTAACTCAGGTGACCTATTGCTATCCGTTTTCGTCCGTCGTCGTGCGTCGTGTGTCGTGCGTCGTGCGTCGTGTGTCGTGTGTTAACATTTGAACATTTTCAGCTTCTTCTCTAAAACCACTGAACCAATTTCAACCAAATTTGGTATAGAGCATCTATGAGTGAAGGGGAACAAAAATTGTGAATTTCATGGTCCCTGCCCCCCTGGGGCCTGAGGGTTGGGGCCAAAACCACTAAAATTTTTGCAATCTTTAAAAATCTTCTTCTTTACTCCTGGACATCAAGCAGGCAAACTATTGGCATGAATGTAATTACCATTGAGTCCTCTACCAAAATTGTGAAATTCATGGCCCCAGGGTCAGGGGTTCTGCTGCTAGGACTGGGCTATACAGATTATATAGTGAAAATGCATTATTTCTTTGAAAATCTTCTTCTCTGCTTCTGGGTAAATAAACAAACTAAGCACATAGTTATGATAAGCAAGAGTGCCTCTTCCAGATTTGTGAATTTTATGGCCCCAGGGTCAGGGGTTCTGGTGTTAGGGCGGGGCTCTATAGATTATATAGTGAAAATGCATTTAATCTTTGAAAATCTTCTTCTCTGCTTCTGGATATTAAATAAACTAACTAAGCACATAGTTATGATGAGCAAGAGTACCTTTTTCAAAATTGTGAATTTTATGGCCCCAGGGTCAGGGGTTCTGGTGTTAGGGCGGGGCTCTATTGATTATATAGTGAAAATGCATTAATTCTTTGAGAATCTTCTTCTCAGCTTCTGAGTATTAAATAAACTAACTAAGTACATAGTAATGATAAGCAAGAGTGCCTTTTCCAAAATTGTGAATATTATGACCCCAGGGTCAGGGGTTCTGGTGTTAGGGCGGGGCTCTATTGATTATATAGTGAAAATGCATTAATTCCTTGAGAATCTTCTTCTCTGCTTCTGGGTATTAAATAAACTAACTAAGTAGATAGTAATGATGAGCAAGAGTGCCTCTTCCAGATTTGTGAATTTTATGGCCCCACGGTCAGGGGTTCTGGTGTTAGGGCGGGGCTCTATAGATTATATAGTGAAAATGCATTTCATCTTTGAAAATCTTCTTCTCTGCTTCTGGGTATTAAATAAACTAACTAAGCACATAGTTATGATGAGCAAGAGTGCCTTTTTCAAAATTATGAATTTTATGGCCCCAGGGTCAGGGGTTCTGGTGTTAGGGCGGGGCTCTATTGATTATACAGTGAAAATGCATTATTCTTTGAAAATCTTCTTCTCTGCTTCTGGGTATTAAATAAAATAACTAAGTACATAGTTATGAAGAGCAAGAGTGCCTCTTCCAGATTTGTGAATTTTATGGCACCAGGGTCAGGGGTTCTGGTGTTAGGATGGGGCTCTATTGATTATATAGTAAAAATACAATAATTCTTTCAAAATATTTTCTTTTGCTTCTAGGTTTTATGCCAAGGATTCAAGTATATATATTTATGATGAAGAAAGGTGCATCTAGCAAAGTGGGTTTTTTTAATGCCCCTTGGGTCAGAAGGGGGGGGGGGTGGTTACATAGTCTGAAAATAAATTAATGCTTTGAAATCTGCTCTTTGGTATTTTTATCCTGCAACTACCCCTTGCATTGACCTAATAAAGGTAACCTAATAAACCAAAGCTTTATCCGGTCACTAGCCTAATAAAGCCTCGTGCATGTATTCCGACGTTCTGAAAGCATTGTGACGTCATGTATATTGCAATGTTTACGCCATAGCGTCATAGTTTCAACTGCAAGGATGTGCCTAAATCGGAATTAGCTTGTTTTGGATTCAAATGTAAAATTTTGTTAAAATTGATAACTGATATTTAGACTTTAAAGCCTCGCCCTCTATCACGTTTTCTTACCCTCGCCCAAATATCGCTTATTTTTCAAGACAGTAACCATGTATTTTATATTAATCAACCATTTTATGATAAAATTTGCAAAATTTGAAATTTGTGGCCCCTGGGTCAGTGGTTCCTTTGGGGTGAGGTGCACAACTGGGTATAGTGGAAGTGCATTTTCTCTTTGTTATTCTGATCTACCTCTGGGTATTAAGTAATTAGAGTAAGCATGCTAAGTTAATAATTATGATAAGCAATGGTGCCTCTTTCAAAATTGTGAATTGTGAATTTCATGGCCTCTGGTTTAAAACACGAACCAAATTTAATTGTTTGAGTATTGTTACTCAGGTGACCTATAAGGCCCGTGGGCTTCTTGTTTTAATTAGAAATGGAAATATATGTATATAAACATTTTTCAGTTGTGTAGAGCACTCACTAAAAGAGCTCAAAGTTTTTTAAAGATTAGACTACAGAATCTAAATACTTCTATTAAAAGTTTGTTATGAAACAAAGTAAAACTATCATGAATTTATTCTTTGTATAATTGAGTTCATTCATCATTGATTGTCCAAAATATGGAAGCGTGATCAGGTCGATAAGATTGAAATTTGATGGTTTCCAGGGTTAGAGTGGGGTCTAAGTAATGGATCAAAGTTTTACATGGATATAGAAAGGAAAAAATAATCTTTTCAGGCTGGTCATGATAAGTGATATCAATATCCTGAGATAATGACATGGTCCTGATAGTAGAGTGAGAGTCATGGAACAGACCTTACAATATTGGGTAATTACTTATGGAAGAAAAAAAATCTGTAAAAAAAAATCTCTCTCCAAAACAGCAAGCCCTGTGTTCGTCAGTGCCCCCTTGTAAGAATCTAGATAACTGGTGTCTGACCCGGTAGGTCTAAAGCTGTGGCCAAGATACTGGCACATACTTTTTCTTGTGAATTAAATTTCAAAATTTTATAAAGATTTTAAGTATGTCCAGAGTACTCACATAATGGACTGCAGGAAAACGTCATGACAAGAGGATGAATTGTCATGTTTATTAGGTACCTCAGGTTCACACAACATCAGAGTGGGAATCAATACCTGTATCACTGACTTCACCTTCCAAGTCACAGTGTTTGATTTTCTCAAGTTTTGTCCTAAAAGAGCCAATTATTAACTATAATTTAAAAAGAAAATAATCTGAATTTTGTTAGACTTGTTTTATCCAGAGAAAGAGTAAATCATGTACATGGCACCTGATTCCATCTCTGATGTTTGCACTGAAAACTTTTTAATCAGCTTCTCTGTGGAGATTTAAGTATTAAACACATTGTTTTAATTTTCTTTATAATTCTACTCACTGTTTAAAGGAAACAAAGTAGTTCTGCAAAAATTAACAATCAGTTGATGATGCGGGATATTGAATTTTGTGTCTGTTTCTAAAGTTTTTTGAATTCTTCAAGAACTAATAATAGCAATACTTTACTGTCTGACAAATTTACTAGTTTAAAGCAGTCATATTAGTCATGTGGTGTTGTAAAAGTAGTTAATCTTTGTTTTGTGCTGGACTTGAACAAGTCAATTAATTGTGTTATGTGTTGGAGTTGGACTTGTTGTGCAACTGAGTTTTGTTCTATACTTTAATTGTGCTAAACTTGGACTATTCAATGGACCAGTGCTTTGTGCTGGACTTTGACTTGTAAGTGGAGCTGTGTTATGTGCTGGACTTGGATTAGTTAGTGGAATTGTGCTTTGCGCTGAACTTTGACTATTCAGTGGAGTTGTGCTTTGTGCTGGACTGGGACTAGTCAGTGGAACTGTGTTTTGTGTTGGGCTTGGATTAGTTATTGGAACTGTGTTTTATGCTGGGCTTTTGGAAGTTGGAGGGATGGGTAAAACTTTAGTCATAAATTCTCTAGGATATTTGCATTTGCGATTGATCTGACAGATGATTCAGACTTACCAATAATTTCATATATTAGTTTGCATAATGCAGATCCTAATTGTTTTACTTCCATTTTTCAGGACCACACCTTAGTTGGACAACAAGATGCTAGGGTACAACAGGATATACAGCTGTCTGGGCTGGGCATCATGCCTGAACATTGTGTGGTAGACATTGAGAATGGTGATGTTTGGCTCACACCTGTAGAAAATGCCAGGTCTGTACATTACTATCTTGATAATCTCAAAATTGAATTCTATAATGAAAATATTTTTTAAATGAGAAGATGTTCTATTTATATGAAGGGAATTAGAAAATTTTACTTGCCACTAATGTTTTTTTCGAGAGGTAGGGTGGGGTGTTTGCCCCACCATGAATATGACTGAGCATATAGTGTTTGTCATGTCTGCCTTCTGACTGGATGTTCAGAAAATTATTTTATCAATGGTCTATAGAGAGACATTGGTCAGTTTTGTTTTTAGCAGGTTTTCATTTTTTGTGGTTAAGCTCAATATGAAGAGCACTGAACTAGACCCGTAGTGATCGGGGCCCTAAACACAGGCAAAACCTGTTATACAAATACACTTGAAAATTCCCATTTGTTTCTGCATGGGTAAATCACTAAAGTTGGGTGTTTGTTATACCCCCGCTCTGAAGGAGAGGAGGGTATACTGTATTACCCTTGTATGTCTGTCCATGTGTCTATCTGTAACAAATTTTTCATCGCAATTTTCTCACCAGCTACTCACCTCAGATGCTAAAAGTTTTAGTACATTCTTTGCTTAGGCATGCCATATGTTGGAATTCATTTTTTGTTCAAGTTCGATGTCAACTTCTTGTTCATCCATGCTTCTTTCTGTACCATACATAACAAATTTTCGTCACAGTTTTCTCAGCAACTACTCATCTCAGATGCTAAAAATTTTAGTACATTCTTTGTTTAGGCATGCCATGTGTTGGGATTCATTTTTGTTCAAATCCGATGTCAACTTCCTGTTTATCCGTGGGTCTTTCAGTACCATACATAACAAATTTTCATCTCAGTTTTCTCAGCAACTACTCATTGCAGATGCTTGAAACTTCAGTACATTCTTTGCTGAGGCATGCCACATGTTGGGATTCATTTTTGTTCAAATCGGATGTTGACTTCTTCTTACCAGTATGTCTGTCTGTAACTGAACTTGTGTATATCAACATTATGATAGTGTATATTCACATCAGAGTGGGGGTATTGCAAGTGAGCACTGGCTCACAGACTTCTTGTTTTTTTCATTGTGCATATGTAATTGCTAGTTTTTTCCTCAAAAGAAGAATGATATGTATGATATAGCTATAGCAAATATCCTTTTCCATTAGCTATACCATGCTCAAAACATTTCCACACAGTGGACTTGGACAGTAGAGTATGTCTATGAAAATTGTTTTAGAGACAAAAGGAACCTGAGATGCAAATTTCATTGGCTGCATGTTAAGGGACACTTATCATTAAAGTGTGGATCAAATGCATGCAATATTTAGTTAACTGGTGAATTACTAAATAAATATGTGCATGTTTTTTTCTTAATATTGACCAGTTATTTTTAAGACTTAAATCTCATTCTTTGCCTATCCTAAGGCTGGTGCCAGTGCACAATGGTAAATTTGTAAGAAGGAGTTCTGCCTTGATTATATCATAAGGAATATTTTCCTGTCAATTTTTTTTTTTAAAAAGGGCATTTCTATTATTCAGACAGTGACATTTGAATGAACACTGGATAGTGTGCACAGAAATAACTAAGAAAATTGATTTTAAAATTATCCAGCTTTTGTTGAGAGGTAATCCACTTAGTTTGTTAATTAACATGTAAATCAGATTCTCTATCAACTGTATTGAATTGGAAAAGTGCTTTACAAAGTCAGATTTGTTGTGAAACTCTGAACTTATTAGGTATTCTAATCACAGTTTTATCTCCACATGGTAAAGTTTGCCTCAATGAGGACAAAATGGTTGTGTGACAGCAAATCATGAGATTAGCAATTATTGCTTTTCATGAGATTGATTAAGCATAGCCCTAAAAAGTCCAAGTGATAAGTAAATGGAAGTAGGAAGTCTGGTAAATCAATAACTCTACCAGACCAGATAGAGAGCAGCCACAAGAACCCGAGCTTGGTAAGAACAAGCAGTGGGCAGTACTGACTAGGTATAGAATCTCCTGGTCATCACTGCATGTAAAATGTAAGGTCTGAAAGAGACAGTAACTGAAGAAACAGAATGAAAAGAGGGATTGGAAAAAAGCTGAACAGATATATTGCAGGTTATTGCCATGAAATACAACTCTAAATGATTCAAATATATTTTATTGTCATAAATGTGACTACCATAAGTCACAACTTGGAGCACTGTTCCATTTATCTGTGTGATTTTAACAAATGGTATTACGATGGATACTAAAAATAGAAAAAAATGATGTTTAAAAATGCTTTTGCCTTTACAATTTTGGTTGGATTTCAATATAATAATTGGTATACATGTCAAGTAATTTATTGACATACATAATCTCATTTTGTCTGGGCTTTAACTGTTACTGAGGATCTCTGAAACTCACATTTAGGCCATAATAAATAAATTGCTAGATTCTCATCCAAATTTTTTTAAAAATCGAGGCGGGCGGGCGGCTTTTATTTTATATTTTTTATTTTTTCAATTTTGCAGATTTTTTATTGACCTGGTCAATCTGTGTAATTTTATCTATAATACCCGAATAAAAGTCATAATAAAGGTTCAATTATCTCTTACTTCACACCATCACCAATCTTTTTCAACCAATGACCCTTCTTTAAAATATATACGCATGTATTACAGCAATTACCATCTTTTCATCTGTCAAAATCATGTCGACTTTCGCAGAATTTAGAACGAAAGTAGAATGGTAGATTTATAAAAGAAGAAAAACAGAAATAAAAAAAATCGAGGCGGGGGTCTAAAATCGGGGCGGGCGGGGATGAGAATCTAGGATTATTTTTATTATGGCCTTAATGGTACAATTTAGATTGTTCAAAACCTGAGGATGTGTTATGACCTTAACTCTAGGTCATTCAAGCAAATTCAAGGTCACTTGCTGAAATATTTATAAAGGATGATTTGAGGAATGAAGTTGTAGAGGCTACTAAAAATAGAAATTTCTACACAAACTGATAGTTCTGCCCTAAGATATATTACCAAGTACACTGTACTATCAGTGACTATAATAACCATTTTGTTGATCCATGATCATCCAATATTTTTTGTCCTTTAGCAACATATCTTCATCTATCCATTTATCTCATTTTATACTTCTATGGATTCTTTATATTGTGATATACTCAGGTGACCATTAAAGCCCATGGGCCTCCTTTTTCTTAACAAGAACCATAAAATAAATCTGGAGATGGTTTGAGTTTAAACATAATAATATGACTGAATTTTAATCTAAGATCATTTTAACTGTCAAAGCCTGCAAGAAGGAATTTCAACCTTAGGTGTTATACATTTGTGGCTAACATAATCATACAGAAAAGTGATAATCCAAATGTCAGAATGAAGTTGCTAGGTTCTTTGTATCTGAGTAGTAGCATCAGTGATTTTATCGTATGTTCAAATCTTTTGAATTCATCAACAAAATATTATTGGTAGATGTCTGGCAGTTGACAATATAATTACAAACATGGTGTGAACAAGGAATCTTATGATTTTGCATTACAGAACTTGTGTGAATGGTTCTGTCATCACCAAAAAGACCAAAGTGAAGAACGGAGACAGAATACTCTGGGGAAACAATCATTTCTTCAGAATTAACTGTCCTAAACAGAATAGTAAGTCAGATGTAAATCCACATTCTAGGGCCAAAGGCTCAAGTAACTTTTTTCCATAGGGTGAAGGTTTGTATGAAGGACAATTTCACTTTAAGAAAATTGAAATTTGGTGGCAACATTTGTATACTTGTATCTTCTTCTGAAGAACAGGGTTGTCCCTAAGAATTAAAATAGAAGAGGATATTTAAAAAGAAGAAGGGGATCTGGGGTTCCTCTCCTACTGAGGAGTTTAGGAGGAATACAAACGGGACTTAGGGTTGGAAATTCACTATGTACAACTCACAAAATGTGAGTTAGAGTCTCCTAATTACAAGTTTAAAATTTTGTAACTCACAAAAATTTGCGAGTTGTCTTTTTCATTGTAAATTTCACTCAGGAAAAAATATCCCATTTTAGTCTTTCTCTCTAAGCTACTGATTATATCCATAAATTCAAAATGAAGGAGCATATGAAATGTTTGATGATCATGTCGAAAATTAAGATTGATTGATTGTATACTGTTTAACGTCCCTCTCCAGAATATTTCACTGATATGGAGACGTCACCATTGCCGGTGAAGGGCTGCAAATTTAGGCCTATGCTCGGCACTTATGGCCTTTGAGCAGGGAGGGATCTTTATCCTGCCACACCTGCTGTGTCACGGGGCCTCGGTTTATACGGTCTCATCGGAAGGACCACCCCATTTAGTCGCCTTTTACGACAAGCAAGGGGGTACTGAGGACCTACTCTAACCCGGATCCCCACGGGGCTCGAAAATTAAGAAGTTTTTTAAAAGTTGGATAGATGGAGGTTCATGTTTATAAAGCTTTCATTTTAAAATTGCATGTTTGTATTTTTGGTACTCACAATTATTTGCGAGTTGTAATTTTAGGGAGTTTCTACCCCTGCCGGGAGTACATCCTCTGAGTACATCATGGGGAAATTCCCAAACCCCTGGGTCTTAGGGACCACCCATGAAGAACTATTCTACCATAAGAGATGAAACTTGTGCAAGTCAAATTTATTAAGTCATGATGCATTATAATATTTCATGTGGACTGTAACTTTAAAGTCAAATTTAGTAGGTTCCCTGTCTAATCTTTTAGGCCTTTGACTAATACCTTTCTTTTTGTGGGATCCTTTGAGTTAGAGTAGACCCTGACTATTCCCTTTTGAGTAAGAGTAGACCCTGACTGTTCCCCTTTCTTTTTGTAGGATTCTTTGAGTTAGAGTAGACCCTGACTATTCCCCTTTCTTTTTGAGGGATCCTTTGAGTTAGAGTAGACCCTGACTATTCCCCTTTCTTTTTGTGGGATTCTTTGAGTTAGAGTAGACCCTGACTATTCCCTACCTTGACTGTTCCCCTTTTCTTTTTGTGGGATCCTATGAGTTAGAGTAGATCCTGACTATTCCCTTTTGAGTAAGAGTAGACCCTGACTGTTCCACTTTTCTTTTTGTGGGATCCTTTGAGTTAGAGTAGACACTGACTATTCCCCTTTCCTTTTGTGGGATTCTTTGAGTTAGAGTAGACCCTGACTATTCCCCTTTCTTTTTGTGGGATTCTTTAAGTTAGAGTAGACCCTGACTGTTCCCCTTTCTTTTTGTGGGATTCTTTGAGTTAGAGTAGACCCTGACTGTTCCCCTTTTCTTTTTATGGGATCCTTTGAGTTAGAGTAGACCCTGACTATTCCCTTTTGAGTTAGAGTAGACCCTGACTGTTCCTCTTTTCTTTTTGTGAGATCCTTTGAGTTAGAGTAGACACTGACTATTCCCCTTTCTTTTTATGTGGGATTCTTTGAGTTAGAGTAGACCCTGACTGTTCCCCTTCCTTTTTGTGGGATTCTTTTAGTTAGAGTAGACCCTGACTGTTCCCTTTTGAGTTAGAGTAGACCCTGACTAATCCCCTTTCTTTTTGTGGGATTCTTTGAGTTAGAGTAGACCCTGACTATTCCCCTTTCTTTTTGTGGGATCCTTTAAGTTAGAGTAGACCCTGACTATTCCCTTTTGAGTAAGAGTAGACCCTGACTATTCCCCTTTCTTTTTGTGGGATCCTTTGAGTTAGAGTAGAACCTGACTATTCCCTATTGAGTAAGAGTAGACCCTGACTGTTCCTCTTTCTTTTTGTGGGATCCTTTGAGTTAGAGTAGATCCTGACTATTCCCTTTTGAGTTAGAGTAGACCCTGACTGTTCCCTTTGAGTAAGAGTAGACCCTGATTGTTTCCCTTTGAGTTACAGTAGACTCTGACTGTTTCCCTTTGAGTTACAGTAGACCCTGACTATTCCCCTTTGTGTAAGAGTAGACTTTAACTGTTACCCTTTATTTTTGTGGAGATCCTTTGAGTTACAGTAGACCCTGACTATTCCCCTTTGAGTAAAAGTAGACCCTGACTATTCCCCTTTGAGTAAGAGTAGACCCTGACTGTTCCCTTTGAGTTAGAGTAGACCCTGACTATTCCCCTTTGTGTAAGAGTAGACTCTGACTGGTACCCTTTGAGTTAAAGTAGACCCTGACTGTTCCCTTTGAGTAAGAGTAGACTTTTCCCCTTTGAGTTAGAGTAGACTCTGAGTATTCCCATTTGAGTTACAGTAGACCCTGACTATTCCCCTTTGAGTTAGAGTAGACCCTGACTATTCCACTTTGAGTAAGAGTAGACCCTGACTGTTCCACTTTGAGTTAGAGTAGACCCTGACTATTCCACTTTGAGTAAGAGTTAGGGCTGAAACGATACGCCCCCTCCACGATACGATACATATTGCAATACTTGTGTCACAATTCAATTTTTTCAATACGATACAATTTAAGAACGAAACTATTCATAAGGTTAAAGAAAACGTATTCAGATTTTTAAAAAAAAGAGTAAAAGGTGGTGATACAATAGAAATATACTACCAGGGGTATGCAATTTGAAAATTCAAGTACTAGCCCACGGGCTAGTGGCAGCAATAAAGTTACTGGCCCAAGTAAAAAGTTACTAGCCCAAATATAGGGACAAAAATTAAAATAAAACTAATGTTGGGAAAAAAAAATTAATCATTGAAAAAGTCAGGGTACTAAGGTCATTCTTTTTAAAATTAAAATTTTATTCTCACTATTAAAATTAAATCATATAATATTAATAATTATGACAGAAAATAAAAATGAATTTAAAAAAATTATCTTAAGATCTTTCCTTTTCCGATTATTTTGCAATAGCTCATTTAGAATGAAAATAAATTCATTTTGTTTTCATATTAAATCCTTAAATAATAAATACACTAGAAATATATTTCATGTGAATCACACTGATCTTTCAGTTGATTGAGTGATCTTAAATAATTTAATGAGATATCTGCATGTATTTACAATAAACGGAGGAATGGAGGAAATTCGGATTAGGAAAAAAACGATCGTTTTTGGAAGTAAATGAGCCAGGAAGTACTGCAAAATGGAGAAAATTATGGAGATTTATTGACAGAAGGAGCATGCTGCCTGGAAAATATTTACTGGTTGGGAATTTGATAGCAAACAATGAGTAAAATACCGGTTGTACTTTTCATGTATTACATGCGTAGTTATAATTTTTACTAGCCTGAATTTACTAATTTTTTAATTGCACATCTCTGATACCTGTGGTTCTGTTGATTAAGAACACTTTATTCGTATAAATTGTAGCAGGTCTGGTGTTCATATAGCCTGTACTTCGCGTTGTGTTTATTTTTTGTTTTGAGACGACTTTCTGAATATGACCTCTACATTAGATATACCTTGGAAATATTTGTAAATTATAATGTGTGATTAACAAGACTTTACAATTTATTACCAATCTTACAGTACGTTATAATAGTACACAATATGAAGACCTTAATTCCCAAACCCAAATATGGCCTAACTTAACCCAAATATAGTCTAACCTAAGTAGTAATATAATTTAATTAAGACAGACGACAAGGGACGATTCCAGTATATGAAGAGTTTAGCTAGCAAAGAGTTAACCAAACCCGATCTAATAGTTACAAGCTTTATATATGAAAAAGGAACAAAAAAATCGAGATGGTGTAATAATTATGAAAACGTAAATAAACCTAATCTGTCACAAAATATATATCGAACAATATCGTGTGTGTCGGTGATCTATTTCAAAGAGTTAACCAAACCCGATTATAAAAAATGTATCGAACCGAAAATCGAGATGGTGAATCGAACATTGAACCGAGCATATATATCAAACAATATCGATATTTCGGTGAATCGTTTCAGCCCTAGTAAGAGTAGACCCTGACTGTTCCCCTTTGAGTTAGAGTAGACCCTGACTATTCCCCTTTGAGTTAGTGTAGACAATGATTGTTCCCTTTTGAGTAAGAGGAGACTTTGACTGTTACCCTTTATTTATGTGGAGATCCTCTGAGTTAGAGTTGATCCTGAATTTTCCCCTTTGAGTTACAGTAGACATTGACTGTTCCCCTTTGAGTTACAGAAGATCCTGTCTGCATGTTCCCCTTTGAGTTACAATAGACCCTGACTATTCCCCTTTGAGTTAGAGTGGACTCTGACTGTTATCCTTTATTTTTGTGGAGATCCTTTAAGTTAAAGTTGACCCTGACTGTTCTCTTTTGAGTTAGAGTAGACTCTGATTGTTCCCCTTTGTGTAAAACTAGACCCTGACTGTTCCCCTTTGAATAAGAGTAGACTCTGACTGTTCCCCTTTGAGTTACAGTAGACCCTGACTGTTCCCCTTTGGATAAGAGTAGACTCTGACTGTTCCCCTTTGAGTTACAGTAGACCCTGACTGTTCCCCTTTGAGTAAGAGTAGACTCTGACTGTTCCCCTTTATTTTTGTGGAGATCCTCTGAGTAAGAGTAGACCCTGCCTGTTCCCCTTTGAGTAAGAGTAGACCCTGACTATTTAACATTGAGTAAGAGTAGACCCTGACTATTCCCCTTTGAGTTCAAGTAGACTCTGATTGTTCCCCTTTGAATAAGAATAGACTCTGACTGTTACCCTTTATTTTTGTGGAGATCCTTTGAGTTAGAGTTGACCCTGACTGTTCCCCTTTGAGTAAGAGTAGACCCTGACTGTTCCCCTATGAGTTAGAGTAGACCCTGACTATTCCCCTTTCTGTTGAGAGTAGACCATGACTGTTCCCCTTTCTGTTGAGAGTAGACCCCGACTGTTCTCCTTTCTGTTGAGAGTAGACCCTGACTTTTCCCTCCCTTTTGTGGAGATCTCTGAATTAGAGTAGACCCTTACTGCCCCCCCTTCCTGTTGAGAGTAGACCCTGACTGTTCTCCTTTCTTTTGTGAGTAGACTCTGACTGTTCCCCTTTCTGTTGTGAGTAGACTCTGACTGTTCCCCTTTCTGTTCACAGGCCCCCAGTCTCAGCTGACAGAACTGGACCAAACCATTGACTATAACTTTGCTCAGCAGGAGCTGATGATGAACGAGTACTCTAATGACCCAATACAGGAAGCCATCTGTGATCTGGAGAAGCAGTATGAAGAGGACAAGCAGGGTGAGATATAATGTCTGTCTGTTTGTCTGTAAAGGACAGACATGTTTTATCTAGTGCATATGCATCATTTGTTGATTTTCTCTATGATCAAAGTTTCAGTGGCCCAGATGCCTGTTCAGCAGAGCGAACATTCGCGAGTGCTCGCCAAAATTACTATTGGAGGTATAAGGAATTTTGGCGAACGCTCGTGAACGTTCGCTCTGCTGAACAGGCCTCTGGTTAGGACTTTATTGGTCTGTGCAAGTTTTTAAAACAAAACATGTATGTTATGGTGATCAATAATTTTTTTTTCTAAGGTTGTTCCTTAAAAGTAGTAAAGTTGATTTAGCTATATAGATAATGTATTGAGTAAAAAAAATAGTATACCCAGACCAAATTTTGATGAATATTGTAAAATCACATAATTATTTTCGTGGGGTCAAATTTTCATGGTTTGAGGAAAAACTCTTGGTTCGTGGGGATTTTATTTCGAGATGTAGAATTTCTGAGTAGTGTGTCACATTTTACAATCCATGGAGGACATGAATTTGTGGGTCTCTTCAAACCTTGAAAACAACGAAAATTAAACCCCCACGAAATTTGGTGATTTCACAGTATTACCGCTACCTGAAAACTTGTTGGGACAAGACTGCCTTACTTAAAATAACATTTGTTGAGGAGAGCACTACATCAACTTTGATTATGTATTTTTTTTGTGTATACATTCTTGATAATGACAATTTGACAGAGGCTTTAGAGAAGCAGAGACAGGAGTATGAACAGAGGATGCAGATTCTGAGGAACCAAATTATGTCCCCTGGTACCCCCAGTAATCCCTATCTCAATTTCAACAGCCTCACTCCCACTGGCACAGGTTCCCAGAATACACTACAGAGGAAGTATCAGAAGTGGGCAGAAAAGAGGTAGGAATCAAAAATCCACAGATTCATATAGCCTTCTGTAGAACATTTTACTATAATTATTGATAGTTATGTTTCTGCTAACAATTAAATGGATCAAGTGAAATGCATACAAAACTGGATTTTTAAAAGTAATAATCTTTTGATGCTAAATATTTAATTCAGAATTCCTTGTACATACATCGGTATCTTGAACTCCAATATCTTAAATACAATGAGTATATGGAAGTGATGTGGAAGTCCCAACCACATTTTCTTAAAGTATTTTACTTTAAATATATCTCAAATCCTCAGATATCTGAAGTTTTTTTCAGCCCCATCAGGTTCAAGATAAAGATTTTTGACTGTTTATGTAGGATTATGCTATATGTCTTTGATAGGTGTAAAATATTTAGATCTTTTTAATTGGAAGTTTTAAAGTTGACTGTAATAAAAGTTGGGCAATGAATTCTTTCAAAGAGTCATTGACATAATATTTGTGTAATTTTAAGGAGTTTTACTGTTGTCTTATTTTAATTGATTTGTCTGAAATATTTAAATTATGTTCTGAATGATATTTACTTATAGAAAGAGCAACTTAAAGAACAGTTTACAAGTCCTCAGAGAGGAGGTACTGAAGGCTAAAGCTTTAGTGAGGGAGGCCAATGTCTTATCTCAAGAGATGGGCAAGAGAACCGAATTCCAGGTCACACTACAGATTCCAGCCAGCAGTCTTAGTCCAAATCGCAGGGTAAGTCAAGGAGATAGAAAAGGCTATTAGATAAATAAGGGGTGTTTGAAAATATGTTATTTTTTCCAGAAGGAAATAAATATTTTAAAGATATAATTTCATGAAAATCATCATCTGTTTGTGGGCCAGTGATTCTCTAAAAAGATTTGTGGCTTTAAAATGCCATCAGTCTTTCAAGCTTCCTGTTTGAAATTCTTATTGTGACCATGTGCACTTTATCAATATAAAACCATGGTTAGCATAATAAATAATGCATTAGATTTACCAATTATTCACTTTTGTTACAGAAAGGGAATGGTTTTGTCAGTGAGCCAGCCATTTTGGTAAAGAGAAAGAACCGACCTAATCAGATCTGGTTGATGGAGAAGTTGGAGAACAAGATAATAGACATGCGTGAGATGTACGAGGAGAGGAAGTCCTCCGGCCAGCCCCTCATGGTAGAGGACTCTGACACTTGGGTTTGTTGTTGTTGCATGGCTTCAGCTTATCTTTGACCTCCCTGTTAATGTATCCAAAGCTTTTTTTGTTCTGAAATTAAACTAGTGGATGGGTATTTGTAAAGTAGAAGCTTAGAGGCAGGTAAACCCATTTGGAGATTTATTTCTGAACTGTTTTGCCTAAATTACATTAAAATTAGTTGCAAAATGCTACCCTCCTTCAGTTTTGGTTTGAATTAAATAAAACTTGGAACACTTGTAGATAAGGTTTGTAATTTGGATAATATATGTTTATCTATTTGTATTCAAGTGAATGGCTTAGAAAATATCATGCAGTTCCTGCTGTTTATTTACAGTAAAACTCGGTTATAGTGAAGTCCTTGGGACCTGTGAATTTAATTTGCTATATCCGTAATTCGTTATATCCGTATAATGAATTTGTTTAACCATTATAGCGAATTCGCAATATGCATGTTTTCCTTCAAGTATTACTATCAAATATGTTAGGGAAGCAAATATTACAAAACATATCTTCGATAACTAAGGTTTTATTATGAATCGAATGGTATATACAAATGCTAAAAGGAAATAAAGTCAGTTCAATTTATCATATTTTTTTTAATCTTTAAAGTTCGTTGTAAAAGATGTAAATTTTATTATATTTAACCTCAAGGGGACTCAGAATCAGTTCGCTATATCCGTAAATTCGTTACATCCGAGTTTGTTATAACCTTAAAATTTTACAAAGATTTGCTAACAATTTTGCCGGGGACCCAGAAAAACTTCGCAATATCCTTGAATTCGCTATATCCGTGTTCGTACTAAACGAGTTTTACTGTATTTTCTTTTTTGGGCGGGGGCCACATGATCCTTTCAAAGGCCACAGGGTCACATTGATGGAGTCCATAACTTTTTCTGATTTGGGAGGGGATGGTCCATGCCATTCTAAATTTAAAGTGTTTTTTTTTTTCCTCTTATATTTTATATTGTGTGCCAGAAAGTTATACAAAATATAGAAGCTTTGTTGAAACTAAGGTTTTGCCAGGGATGAATAATTTGAATCATAAAAAAACCTAATTTATTCATTATATATATGTTTTAATTTCATTATATGTTTCCATGAAATTGATTTACCTGTAAAGTTCAAATTCATTATACGCATGTTTTACTATTACTTGAACATGTTCATTTCCCTGCATGCAGTATTCGTATTTTAAGAAAAAAGGAAGGGCACAGCAATTTTCAAGAAAAATATTGGGGAGAGGGATTAAATAAAATTTTTTTTATAGATTTTCTTTTAACTCTTTCCCCCCTGTTGCCACCATTTGACGCACTTGCGATTTCCCTAGAGTGTTTATCTGGCTGCCCCCTGAAGCCATTTTGACTGACTTGAAATGACTGACCATTACATTTAGAACATGCTAATTAAGTACCTAAACATCATCAAAGTGTCACATATTATATATCAATGTTTGGGGAATGGATTGAACTTTAGTATTGTCATATAATTTTCTAAGAATAATTAATCTACAATTAATAATATATAGGTGAAACCAGGTAAAATGAAATTTTCACAACTAATCTTCATATTATCCTTTATATGAGAGAAAGTTTCTATAAAATATACCAGTAAACTTAAAATATAATACCAAACCAATTAAAAAGGCTCATTATTTTTTGTTTAATTAATATTAATTAAGATAGATTAATAATGATAGGTAATTATCTTAGACTTGAGCCAACTAAACTTCACAATCATCTTCAAGCAGGCATGTTTATAAATATTTTATATATTTAGTTGACCACTTCTTGCAAAAGTCTTGGAGAAAATAAATTAATGCATGTTTTTATCTAAATCAATGCCCTGATGAAAAAAATGCTGAAAGTAGATTATTTAGTACTCATAAACAAATGGAAAATCTGTGGCCGCCATTGTTGTTGTTAAAAAGTCTATGATGTTCTTCCTCTAATTTTCATTGTAAAATTTTATTTCTATTAAATTTAACTTTAGAACTGATGTAAAAACATTGTGAATGCTAATACAATCCAAGGTATGTTACATAAAATGCAATATTAAGGCTGAATTTTGCTTGTGTCACAACAGACTGGGTGCCATTGTTTTCACACAGGTAAATCTCAAGTGAATTCACACCAAGCTGTGACTTCACTAATTATAGTAACATTACCTAATGTGTAATACACATGATTGGCTATCATTTAGAGCTGAATTTATTTAGAAACAGGGGAAATCACAGAGATAATTTAGGGTTGTTGTGTGTATGCGTCAAATGGTGGCATCAGGGAAATGGGGCATAGCGTCAAATGGGGCATCAGGGGGTAAAGGATGTAATGCATTAGGGGGAAAAGAGTTAATTGATGAATTATTTTAGAACAGGGTAATATTTGGTATTAGTTTTCCTTTTCATTGAAATATTTCTAATGCCCTGTTCACACAGAGAGTTTAATTCAAATTAAACGTAAGTTTACTGCGAATTAGCTTCGCTTAGTGTTCACACGGAGAATTTAATGCGAATTAGTTTAATTCGAATTAATTTACTGTGCATTAAATTACTTCGCATTAGCTCTGTGTGAACGCTAAGCGAAGCTAATTTGAATTAAATTCTGAGGCATGCGTAATGGCAAAATTAGGTCAAATGCAACATTTTGGTGGTCAGCTTTAAGTGCTTGTGCTATTTTTGAGTGAAAAACTAAGAAAAATTGTGTTAATTATTAAAATGTGTGTACAGACACAGTAACATTATGTCAAATGCATCTGCTTCTGCTCTAGGTGACGTGATTTGCAAATGACGTCATAATAGCCTTACTGACGCTTGACCTTAGAAGTAGATTCTGAATTTTAATTCGCATTAGTTTACTTCGCATTAGCTGTCGTGTGAACGCAATTTAATTCGCATTATTTTGATTCGCATTAGTTTACTTCGAATTAATTTACTGCGAATTAAACTTGCCGTGTAAACAGGGCATATAAGTAAAAGATATTAGTATCAATGAAGTATTTTTTCTTAAGTAAAAAATAACATTTTGTATCAGTTTTTCATTTCAATGAAGTATTTCTTTTAGTAAAAGATATGATTTGGGAATAGTTTTCCATTTCAATAAAGTATTTCGTTTAATTCAGGATGATAGTCCGGTAGTAAAGGGTGACCCATTTTATGAGTCCCAGGAGAACCATAATTTGATTGGTGTAGCCAATATCTTCCTGGAATGTCTCTTCCATGATGTTTCTTTGGATTATCATGTCCCAATCATTAGCCAACAAGGAGAGGTAATGCAATCAAAATGTTCTTCATGCTCAGCATTTAAAAGAATTCAAATCCAAGAATTGCAGACTCATGCATTGTCTTGTATTTTAATTTACAGATTGCTGGAAAGTTGCACATCCAAATCGCTAAGCTAGGTGGCTCTTGCCTTGAGCGTTATGGTGATACAGCGAGTGAGGACAATGAAGTATCTGATCCCGCGATGACAGCAGGGGGGCCTATGATTGTCAGGGTAAGGTTTGATTGGTGTGATGTAATGAAGCAACTCTTGTTGTAGCCACCTCAGTCATGGATTAAACTTTTCCAGATTAAACTTAAGAATCAATCATTTTCAACCAGTTTGAAATACAGCATCTATGGTTTAAGAAGGGGGTTCTTGGTCTTTTCTCCCTGAGAAAAAAAGAACAGACTTAATTTTTCATGTTCTGTTTAATTTCTGTTTAATTTTTGCTTCAAATTTATGAATACAACAATTTTTCCAAGAAACTCCTGTTTTTATCTGTGTCACACTGAGTTCAAGATTACAAGGTCTAATTGTACAGAAACCATATCTATAGTTTTTACATATTGAAAATTGAGATAATGAAGTTCAACTGTATTTATCAATGCACTTAAATATTTGTGAATTTGAAATTTAATTTACTGATTTACTTTTCAGCTGAACATTCTGTCAGCTAAGGGCCTGCCTTCATCCATGTCTAACTTTGTTTTCTGTCAATACACTTTCTGGGGCCAGGAGGAGTCGGTGGTCGTGCCTCCTCAGATAGACCCCGACAAGGTAGAACGCCAGAATTCCACCGGGGACACGGTCTGTGTCAAATTCCAGCACCGAAAGGTAGGTGCGATGTGGGGGTCATTATAGGGAAACATCTCAAAACATTCATAATCCCTTTTTAGCTCACCTCAATGAAGTTGGGGGAGCTTATGTAATACCCTCGGCGTCGGCGTCCCAGGTTAAGGTTAAGTTTTCTGGAGCAGTTTTCTTTTTAAGTACTTCTATGTCCCCTATTGATTAGACATGCATGGAAGATGCATCTAATGTGTTTCTTTGTACAAGTCAAAGTTTCAGATGCTGCAATTTCAGCAAAGGAATGACCAGGTTAAATGTTTTTGGAGCAAGTTAACATTTTTGGTGCAGTTTTTGGTGAAGGTCTCATTTCCAAGGAAATATAAGCCCTATGTTGACCAAAATTGCATGGATGGTACATTTAAGGATGTACACTACCAGACTTGCTTCGGATGCTGAATCTGATGTACATTTTCCGGTTGAGTGAACAGGTTAATGTTTTTGGTGCAGGTCTCATTTCCAAGGAAGGATAAGTCCTATGTTGACCAAACTTGCATGGATGATACATCTTAGGATGCATACTACCAGACTTGCTTGGGATGCTGAATCTGACCTACATTTTCTGGATGAGTGAACAGGTTAAAGTTTTTGGGGCAGGTTTCATTTCCAAGTTACAATGAGCCTATAATGACTAAACTTGCATGGATGATACATCTTAGGATGCATATTACCAGACTTGCTTTGGATGCTGAATCTGACCTACATTTTCTGGATGAGTGAACAGGTTAAAGTTTTTGATGCAGGATTCATTTCCAAGTAACTATGAGCTCTTTAATGACCAAACTTGCATGGATGATACATCTAAGGTTTGCATTCTACCAGGCTGGCTTCAGATGCTGAATCTGACCTACATTTTTTTCTGGATGAGTGAAGAGTTGAAATTTTTATGCAGGTTTCATTTCTAAGTAACTATTAGCCCTATGTTGTGCAAACTCGCATGGATGATACATCTTAGGATGCATACTAATGGACTTGCTACGGATGCTGAATTCGACATATATTTTCCAGATAATGGACCAGGTAAAAGTTATGGGTGCAGGTCTATCACCAAGAAACTATAAGGCTTAGATAAACCAAACTTGCCCAAATGATGCATCAAGGGATGAAAACTCTTAAATTTGCTTCAGATGCTGGATTTTGATCACATTCTCGTGATGAAGAACTAGTTTGAAGTTTTTATATAGGTCTATTCCAAAGTATCAGATCAAAATTGCATAAATTTTGCATTTTTGGATTTACACTTTTTGTTTGGTAATTGTGTGACTTTGCCTTACTTAAAGACAACATTCGTTAAGGTGAGCTCTGTAATCTCTGATTACCTATGTTTATTTTGTCAGATCTAAATATTAAGATATGCATATGTTTGAACTTTTTAGGATTTCAAAATCAACATAACAGAAGAGTTTGTAGAGAACTGTCAGGATGGGGCTCTGTCAGTAGAAGTATGGGGTCATAGAGTCACATCCACAGGCAACACCGAGACGGACATAGCTAAAACAGTCAAAGCCAAAACTCGCTCTCTCACCGAAAGGTAATGGTGTAGTGGAAGCAATCAGTTAGAATTTAATGAAAGAATTCATATACATTTTTAGCTCTTCTGAGCCAAAGGCTCAAAGAGCTAATGCTATGGCCATTTGTGCGGTGTGCGTTAACTTTTTAGAATATGGGCCATAACTCAAGAACCCCTTGGCCAATCAGTGTCAAATTTGTCACAGGGTATTATTGGCCCAAGGGCTACCCTTTATACTAATATAAGGGTTGGGACCCTAAAACAAGGGGAGATAATCAGGAAAACAAAACCAAAAGTACTGGTTGCTAAAAAATCTTCTTCTCCAGAACCACCAAGCAGATTTTCACCAAACTTACATACAAGGATCAGGATATGTTGAAGATTAAAAATTGTTCAAAGCATGACCCTTGGGCAAAGGGCGTGGTCTCAAGGTCACTTCAAATTTGACCTAAATTTACAAATAATAAAAACGTTTATATTTTGCTTACTTTTAGGACTAGGATCATCAAATCTTGTAAGTTGAAGCATCTCAGGACTTCACATCATGTTAACTCAAAAGTAGGTCACGGTGACCTACTTTTTAAATTTTGTGGGCATTTGTTTTCAAATTGATTTGAAGGCGTATTTCGGGCACTTTAAGGCCTATGATCATCAAACTTTGTCAGTTGATGCATCTTGGTTTCATTGTACCAGTCAAAGTTTCAGATGCTGCAATTTCAGCTGACCTACATTTCTCATTTCCAAGTCCTTGAACAACGTCAGTTTAAAAGTAGGTCACCGAGACCTACTTTTTGAACTTTATGACTAATTCTTCTTAAAACATTAAATCCCATTATTTCAGACACTGAGAGGTTTAGAATCATCAAATTTTGTTAATTGATGCATCTTGGGACCTTAAAACATATTTATGAAAAAGTAGGTCACTGTGACCTACTTTTTAGCTCACCTCAACGAAGTTGGGGGGAGCTTATGTGATACCCTCGGCGTCGGTGTCGGCGTCGGCGTCCCGGGTTAAGGTTAAGTTTTTTGGAGCAGTTTTCTTTTTAAGTACTTCTATGTCCTATATTGATTAGACATGCATGGAAGATGTTTCTAATGTGTTTCATTGTACCAGTCAAAGTTTCAGATGCTGCAATTTCAGCAAAGGAATGACCAGGTTAATGTTTTTGGTGCAGGTTAACATTTTTGGTGCAGTTTTTGGTGTAGGTCTCATTTCCGAGTAACTATAAGCCCTATGTTGACCAAACTTACATGGATGGTACATCTTAGGATGCATACTACCAGACTTGCTTCGGATGCTGAATCTGACCTACATTTTCCGGTTGAGTGAACAGGATAAAGTTTTTGGTGCAGGTTTCATTTGCAAGTAACTTTATGGATGGATGGTACATCTTAGGATGCATACTACCAAACTTGCTTCATGGATGCTTAGGAATGACCTACATTTTCCGGTTGAGTGAACAGGATAAAGTTTTTGGTGCAGGTTTCATTTCGAAGATACTATGAGCCCAATAATGACCAAACTTGCATGGATGGTACATCTTAGGATGCATTCTACTAGACTTGCTTCAGATGCTGAATCTGACCTACATTTTCCGGTTGAGTGAACAGGTTAAAGTTTTTGGTGCAGGTTTCATTTCCAAGTTTCTATGAGACATATAATGACCAAACTTGCATGGATGGTACATCTTAGGATGCATACTACCAGTCTTGCTTCAGATGCTGAATCTGACCTACATTTTCCGGTTGAGTGAACAAGTTAAAGTTTTTGGTGCAGGTTTCATTTCCAAGTTACTATGAGACATATAATGACCAAACTTGCATGGATGGTACATCTTAGGATGCATATTACAAGACTTGCTTCGGATGCTGAATCTGACCTACATTTTCCGGTTGAGTGAACAGGTTAGAATTTTGGGTGCAGGTTTCATTTCCAAGGTACTATGAACCCTATAATGACTAAACTTGCCTGGATGGTACATCTTAGGATGCATACTACCAGACGTGCTTCGGAAGCTGAATCTGACCTACATTTTCTGGTGGAATAAACAGGTTAAAGTTTATGGTGCAGGATTCATTTCCAAGTAACTTTGAGCCTTATAATGACCAAACTTGCATGGATGGTACATCTAAGGGTGCATTCTACTAGGCCGGCTTCAGAAGCTGAATCTGACCTACATTTTTCTGATTAGTGAAAAGGTAAGTTTTTTATACAGGTTTCATTTCCAAGTAACTTTGAGCTCTATGTTGAACAAACTTGCATGGATGATACATCTTAGGATGCACACTAATGGACTTGCTTCAGATGCTGAATTCGACATACATTTTCCATATAATAGACCTCGTAAAAGTTATGGGTGCAGGTCTATCACCAAGAAACTATAAGGCTTATATAAACCAAAGTTGCACAAATGATGCATCAAGGGATGAAAACTCTCAATCTTGCTTCAGATGCTGGATTTTAATTACATTTTCATGATGAAGAACTAGTTTTAAGTTTTTATATAGGTCTATTCAAGTATCAAAATTGCATAAATTTTGCATTTTTGGATGTACACTTTTTGTTGGTTAATTGTGTGACTTAATTTGCCTTACTTAAAGACAACATTCGTTGAGGTGAGCTCTGTAATCTCTGATTACCTATGTTTGAATTTTGCAGGCATTTGTTTTCGAATTGTTTAAAAGGCATATTTTGATTACCTTCAGGCCTAGGATCATCAAACTTGGTCAGTGGATGCATCTTGTGACTTTGAAAAATGTCGACCAAAATATAGGTCACGGTGACCTAGTTTCTACATTTTATGGCTATATTTTAGTATCTTAGGTATTTATTGGCTTAGAATCATAAAACTTTGTGAGTTGATGCATCTTGGGTTTTCGGAGAGTAGCAAACAAAAAGTAGGTTATGTTGACCTACTTTTGACATTTTATGGCTTTATTTAAGTAATTATGGTACTTATTGGCTTAGAATCATCAAACTTTGTAAGCTGATGCACCTTGGGTTTTCGGAGAATGATGTCCAAAAAGTAGGTCACTATGACCTACTTTCGACATTTTATGGCTATATTTTAGTATCTTAGGTATTCATTGGCTTAGAATCATCAAACTTTGTGAGTTGATGCGTCTTGGGTTTTCGGAGAGTGATGACCAAAGAGTAGGTCACGGTGACCTACTTTTGACATTTTATGGCATTATACAAGTATCTACGGTATTTATTGGCTTAGAATCATCAAATTTTTTAAGTTGATGCATCTTGGGTTTTCGGAGAGTGATGTCAAAAAAGTAGGTCACTGTGACCTACTTTCGACATTTTATGGCTTTATTTAAGTATCTATGGTTACTAACTGGTTTAGAATCACTAAACTTTGTTTGTTGATGCATCTTTGGTTTTTAGAGAATGTCGATCAAAAAGTAGGTCATGGTGACCTACTTTTGAATATCTCAAGTACTTTTTGGCTTAGAATCATCAAACTTTGTCAGTTGATGTATCTTGGGTTTTCAAAGAATGTAGACAAAAAAGTAGGTCACGGTGACCTACTTTCAATTATCTCAAATACTTATTAGCTTAGAATTTTCAATCTTTGTTTATTAATGCATCTTGAGTCCTCAGAAAACTTCAATCTTAATATAGGTCACTGTGATGTACTTATGGTTTTTATAGCTTTATTATTAAAAATATTTTCAGTCATTATTGGCTAAGAATCATCAAACTTTGTCAGTTGATGCAACTTTCTTACACACTTAAGGTTAGAATAGAAGTGATAGATTGTACAATTTATCAGAAGAGCGATTCAAGGCCCTTGGGCCTCTCGTATTCTAACATTTCATTCTCCTAGATCAGTCATAATCAGGTCTTGAGTTTCCTGTGAGTGTGATTGGTTCTCCTTAGCTGTACACTAAAGTGAGCTTGTCTAATTACCTGATGTCCAGCATATGTCTGTCTGTCAATAAACTTTATTATACACACTTTTGACATCTCCATAATGACTGTGCTATTTTCAACCAAACTTGCCACAAAACATAATTTGGATGGGTCACACTCTTTCAAAAGGAGATAAATAATAAAAAGTAAATGTATTAACATGAACGTGTATAGTACTAATTCTTGATTACACCAACAACCCCAGTGATTGTGCTAAATTCTGAATTTGTAAATTATGTACACATACAATAAATCCATCGATTCTTCTCAAAGAACAGATGCTTGGGAAGTATAATGGGGAAAATGTTCAAAACAATAAAGCCTTGTTTGTCATGTGACTTTTTGTACTTTTAAATTGCAGCACCCTACATTGTTAAAATTGGTTAAGTCATGCTGTGGTAGAGCTAGGGAGGGGCTGCAATAGTCAAAATTTTTTTGAATATCAACTCTAGACTTGTCTGCTGAAGAACAGCAAGACCAAAGTTACTCAGGTGAGCAATGTAATCTATGGGTTTCTTGTTTTCAGATGGAATGAGGTGATGAGGAAACTGGAATTGTGGGTAGAAATAGAAGAGCTGAATTATCAGGGGGAGTGGTCTTCTGTAGAGGTCCAATCCAAACCTGACGTCTTATCAGCAGGGGTATTTCAGCTACAACAGGTTAGTCTACTGAGTCATTTTACTACATGTGCGGTTTGTTAATGCATGTTGCTGAATGACAGTTTTTTTTGTAAGGAAGCTGATATAGTTCAAATCCTCAGACAAGAAACCATTTTTTACTTGTTTTAATTTGGTGATAATTCTTTGGTCAGAATGAGATTAATCTTTTTTCTAGGGTCACTCCAGGAGAGTGAAAGTGCGCGTGCGGACAGTGACAGAGTCGGGAACCCTTCCTCTGATACCAGAGACCATCACGTCAGTATCAGTAGGAGGGATAACTAATCGCAGCAAGCTACAGAAAGGTCTGGACAGTTACCAGGAGGATGACCTCTCCATTCTCCGAGACAAGTGGTCAGAGGCACTGGCCAAGAGAACAAAGTACTTAAATGAACAAATACAGAGTCTCATTAACAAACAAGGTAATGTGGATAGACACCTGATTTCAAGTCAGTTATATTGTTAAAATGTGATGAATGTAAATGCTGACTACTGGTCAGGTCCTGACCCCATTTCACAGAAAAACTTAAAACTAAGAATCAAAATATTATTATGTAAATATTTTCTTTTTTAAATTAAATTAAATTTTTTTTTAATACTTTTTTTTTTAAAATTGATATTTTTGCAAGCCATTTTTAGCAGAAACATAAGATTTGTAAGGTTTTACAATCAGCTAAGGTTTAAGTCTTAAGGTAGGTCGCGGGTTTACTGCATAAAAATTCTTACGAGAAAACATATCCTGAAAATTTGATATAATGTTCGTTAGAATTTACTGCGTATTATCTGCAATTTTTATTAAATTTGCCTACGTAGTTTTCATGCTATGTTACTGTAAACGCGGTATTGCTGTTGATACCTTTTTTACGCTTTACTATTGAAATGTATGAAAAAATGACGTTTTTAGGCCAATTTTGTGTAAATAGTTTCTTTTAGAAAGGTTGGATAACTTTTTAAAGACGTAGACGAATTAGTCAGGAATTTCAAAATGTTAAGATGAGGTGAAATCAAAACTATTGATATAAAAAATTCAATATGTCTTCTCGCTAGATTTTTTGCTAAATAATTTCAAAGTTTGTGTTTTTTATTGCTTAAATGTTGCGTTTATGGCGTTATTTATGTCTACAACGTCATATGTTGAACGAAGTCACGTTTACAGTACGAGTATAAATATCTTGACATTAGGATTATGTAGGAATTAAAAGGTGACATAGATGCAGCATTTAATTTTATTCATCATGTTACTTATTGCGGGGACATATTAGGAAGACTCTGGCATCTTATTTTCACTAGTATTGTGAAATTCATATTCTGAGATCACAATGTCAGGTTGAACTGTATAAGCATTCCTCGTGCATGAGAATTAACATGTAGCGACAACAACGTAAGCGATGAAATATTAGTTTCTGTATTTTTAGGAAATTCATGGTCAATAGGATTTCGTACTTAACACATTAATGTGATCACTTTATTCAAAAACGGCAATGAAAAAAACATCCCGTTACTGAGGAAATTAGCGGGGGGTGGGGGTGGAGGGGGGGGGAACCTGTAATGTTCTTTCTCACTGGTCGCAAGCTTGTATATAGCCCCAACTCTCAAACATTTGTTAATTTCAAATTCTATTAATCATTTGATAATTTCGAATACTTTTAATCAAATTTCCATACGCAAAATGTACAACACTTGCATTTAGCTTTTACACTTAGAGATTCTTTTATAAAATATATATAGAAAAAAATATACAGTTCACATAAGTCGTACAGTCCAAGTGTTTGGATAAATTTGTTAGCAAAGACTAAACGGGATTTTAAAAAAAATACATAATAAAATAACCAAATAATTATAATGATTATAGGGGAAAAAACAGGAAAACACATGCAATTAATTTTAAACTGATATAAGTGTTGGGGATTGATTCCATCCTGAAAATTATACGTATATATTAGCCCTGGATTTGATTGGCAATCATAATGCAATACGCATGTTCCCAAAATTTTGAAACGTAAAATTACATAAACAGCCCCTAAAGTTTTCCCCCAAGCAATTTTATTTGTGATAACTTTCTTTTTGCATACCATATATAGCTTTTACTCTGAATTATTCTGATTTACTTTTAGCAGTTTAAAGACACTAACAATATAAATTATTCCTTTTATTTGGTATGTATTTCTTTTGTCCTAAGACATTACGTAATATCACATCAAAATTCAGACGGAAATTCAATTATAAAACATGTACGAGGTTTACGTACAATAGCATGAACTTTGTATAAATATACTTGATTCGTAGTGTCTTGAAGTCATTTGCAGAGAATAAAACGGGAAACAACGCAACGTTGCCTTTGTGACGTCATTGACGTCATAATCAAATGTGCACAAAACAACCGCTCGAATCGTCGAACTTGTGTACCAAAATTGATGACAAAAGCAAACCCGCGACCTACCTTAATCATACGTTCTTATGTAAAACAAGCCCTATGTTTTTTCTCCTACATTCATATGATGAAAATTACACATGCTTTTTTTGTATTTAAAATGTATAAATAATAAACGTGAACAATTGTTAAAAAATTTTATTTATTGTTCATATATAGTTAATTAAGAATATATTTTTTGCCATATTTATCTATAAATTTCTTAAAAGCATATCAAATATGAAAGTTTCATTCTCAAAGTCCAAGATTTTAAGCCTCACTTGTGATCACATCATAAACCCAATAAGTACACAGTTATTCCTTAAATCAGATGTTTCTGGAAGTTGTTAGTCACCTAAATGAGTAGGAAAAAAGCAGGTGGTGAACCTAATTACAAGGATATAAAGATGACTTATCCTATTACAGACAAAACGGAGGCTGATTCTGACCGTGAGCGGGCTCTCCTGGACCAGTGGGTGTGTCTGACCGAGGAGAGGAATGCTGTCCTGGTCCCATCCCCGGGGAGCGGTATCCCAGGGGCACCTGCCGAGGGGGAGACAGCCCCCAACCTGGAGAGGCATACCCCTGTACTGTTTCTGGATCTTAATGGTATGTAGTTTACATCAATAAACAAAAGATAACATGAAGTTTGCTATGCATGTGAAATCCCATTCTTTGAAGCTTCAGATGAACATGTTTATCACATCATTGTAATGACTGGAATGATTTGAAGCAATAGGAATTTTCTTCAAGTGTATTTTCTAACAATGACAAACATCTCTCATACTGTAGAAGTACTTTTGTCCGCTTGGTATTAATTTACGCTATGTATGCGGTCACAAATTTTCCGCAGAAATTTGTCCAAGTGAACTGAATAAAAATGTAAGGCATATAGTGACAGTCTAAGAAATCCGCGGAATTTTCTACACGCGGATTAAACAGAAATTGAGATTCTGTGGAATTATGACCCTGTGGAAAAAAGTACGTCTACAGTATCACTTTAATGTATATCTCATTAAAATTTTATTTTTTTGCACACAGCTTTTGATTTTTCTACACAATATTTTCCTGTATACGATGCATTTCTTAACTTAACTTGAAGTTTGAATTCTTTGCATGTTTGAAGCTGATGACATGAGTACATCCCGAGCCAGGGAAGGCTATCTTGCTGCGGGGGTAAATTCTATCCTACCTAAAGAGCATGCAGGCTCCTTTGTCAACCTTCCCATTACAAAATCTGAAATGGACAGTGGTTATGTATGTATCAATTGAAGCATGAGACATATATAATAGCTTGAAGTTCATTTTCTTCATTCATATCAATAATTTATTGGAATGTAAAAGAACACATGGTTACTTAGTGACTGAGCCTCGTCTTACAGAGGTCATGGGAAACTTGGCAATGAGACAGTGAACGTGTAATGGGGACAATACCGTAAATCTGGAAAATTTTGCTGTAGATAAATTTTTAGCAAATTTGCGAGTGCATTGAATTCGCAAAAATATTTTTCTTAAAAATAAATCACCAATAAGAAAATGTAAACAAAGCAGTGGTCATTCGCAAAATTTTGAAACGTAAAAATTAATCAACAGCATTTTGATCGGAATTCGCAAAATAAAATTGACGTAAAAATTTCCAGATTTACGTTATGTATATTCTCTAACCAAAGATTACAGGGTTCACACTTTAAAGGGGCCTGGACACAGTTTCAACTGATTTTTTAAAACCAATTTTAATGTTTACAATTCCTACCTAAGGTGTCATCTATTGATTGGCAAAATTTGAAGATCATTTGTTGATCGATTAACAAACATGATACAGAATTTAAAGTTCTTCATAATGTAAACAAGGCTAGTGCCTTGTTTTTGTTTGATGCATTTGGCCGAGTCTAATACGCATTGATGTGTAATACGCACCACCCTTTTTATCTGAAACTGGGCAAATCAAGGCCCTTGGGATGTATTATACGTCAACAGAAAAATTTACCAAGCGATGACCTATATGAAAATCACGGTTATTTGTTACGAAAATCGTTCGTCGTGGATTAGGTGTCAAAAATTTACTAAACACACTTTTCTCTTAAAAATGCACACTTTATAACTTTTTGGCATATAGCATTCCGTATCGCGGCAACAAAAATTATTTATTCATTTATTTCAACAAAGCACAAGATAATGTTGCGTAAAAGTAAAATTAACATATTTTTTTAAAAATAGTTACGGTGATTTTGACATCAAGCTGTCAAACTGTTGGTATGATTGAAATAATTTTATTTCAACAAAGCAAGAGATATTGTCGAAAGTTTTATCAGGGTCGTCATATTTAATTTTGGTTCTATTGATTATATCATGCTGAAAATTATTTCTTTAAAATATTTTGACAGCAAACGAAATTGAAACATCAAAGTATTTATTTCTTTAGTTATGAAGACTACGATTTTCCTCTACAAAAATTGTGAAATTCATTTCTAAATGATACCACTTTTATTAAAAGTTTTGGCATAATTTATATATATTTGAAACTCTCAATTATTTTAACAAGAGGCCGATAAGTATAAGATAAGGTAAAATTACATTTAACAAGCGTTTAATTGTTTAAGTGCCGTAATCAACACATGCTCACCATGCTCACACATACGAAAGGTCATAAACCGACCCCCAATTTTTAACATAGAAAATAATCACAGCAATTAACATCAGTAAATAATCAGTGCTATAACTGTAAAAACATTGCTTTGGAGTCGGTAAAAAGTTATCATTGCCAAGAGGGGTGTTACAAAATTTAATTTCATTTGACCAGCGCACGTGTGTCACAACATTGGCTTCCTTTCATTATGTAGTGAGGGGTGTTATATTTTGAAAATCTTCTTATCACTCCTAGGTATTTTAAACCTAAAATTAATATTTATTTTATTGTATTTCATTAAAAAATGATTTATTACTTTTATGGCAGATAAGGGGTGCATGTGCACTATCATTGGAAGCACGTGACATAGCTATGAGTGAACGTCTAAAAATAATATCGGTAATGGCGGCCTCCTCGGAGACAATCAACATACAGCTCAAATTACTTTTAACTTACTTTTTCATGTTATTTGGGCATAAAAAGATTATGAAAGTGACATTTTTAACTTAGCATACCTTCCAACAATAACTTTGAATTGTTTAAAATATGGCAATTAACAAAAGAAATTGCATATGTCTATAAGTTATACTACGGTATGTACGTATGATAGCCGTGTTTCAGAAAGGAAAACTTGCCATAAATCCCATTGTGATGTAAACATGAACCATCCCTTCAATCACAAAATTTATTTTGCATGAAAAAAGTGACCTATTGTGGGCCCCTAATTACGGTACATATAGAAAATATCATATTTATAACAAATTGAAGTTCAGCAAATCAGTAGTAACTGTTGATTCGTATTTAAAATGGACTTTTATTTGAAATTATCAACTTTGCACGAACATATATTAGTTTATTAACCTGCGTAAACAAAAACATTACACTAGCCTTGTTTACATATCAAAGGTTTGAAGCTATAAATCTGTCTTGTATTTGGACAACTGGTGTTCTAATTTTTGATGATCATTAGAAAGACCCTATAGTTAAATATTTGTAAAAATGGAAAAATAAATTTTGAAATTTTAGCTGAAACTGTGTCCATGCCCCTTTAATGTGTCATTGCCCATGAACTAAAGGTTTCTCATGATCCTGAATCAAATCTGTATCTTTCGGATCAAAGGCAACTTTAAACTATAAGTAGTTAGATAAAGTTCCAGTCAAAATTTTGAAACCATTCCACCATTAGAATAATTTTCAACTTGCAATTGAGTATGGACCTGTTAAGTAATTGAGTAAACATCAAGTAAATATTGTTGTAATTGTCAAGTTTATATTTTTAGATTTATGCTGTTGCATCGTGGGATTCTACGGTCCATGATTCTGACTTACTGAACCGTGTTACTTCATCCAATGATCGAATTTATCTAATCCTGAAAGTAGTTGTCCGACTGAGTCACCCAGCTTACATGGAACTAGTCCTCAGAAAGAGAATATGTATCAACATTTATAACAGTCTCAGCTTTACCAGTCTGACAGGCAAACTCAGACAAAAAATCACAGGCACTGTTAGTAGTGAAACCACTTAATTAAGTGTTCTGTTTTATTTTTGTGTCACTTTAAGAGGAAACTACATCACTTTACTAGGTGTCTATCTGTTCACTACATTCAGGGATCACTTTACTAGGTGTCTATCTGTTCACTACATTCAGGGATCACTTTACTAGGTGTCTATCTGTTCACTACATTCAGGGATCACTTTACTAGGTGTCTATCTGTTCACTACATTCAGGGATCACTTTACTAGGTGTCTATCTGTACTTTTATTCTGTATTGTCCACTAATTTAGCCAAACCTGACAAAGCATCCTTGTGTGAAGGGGAATTTAAATTGTTCACATTTTGGCCAAGTCGTCCGTCACTGTCTGTCTGTCTGAAAAACAAAAATTTTCACATTAAAAAACTTCCTCTCAAGAACCGCTGGGCCAATTGAGACCAAACTTGGTACAAAGCATCCTTGTGTGAAGGGAAATTTAAATTGTTAAAATGAAGGGCCAAGTCCCCTCACAAGGGGGATCCAAGTTTTACAAGAAAAGACATATATAGGGTGGGGTCATTAAAAAATCTTCTTCTCGAGAACTACTGGGCCAGAAAAGCTGAAATTTATGTGGAAGCATCCTTGGATAATGTAGATTTTAAATTGTTCAAATCATGACCCCTGGGGGTAGGGCGGGGCCACAAGGGGGAATCAAAGTTTTACATAGAAATATATAGGAAAAATCTTTAAAAATCTTCTTCTCAAGAACCACTGGGCCAGAAAAGCTGAAACTTATGTGGAAGCATTCTAGGGTAGTGCAGATTCTAAATTGTTAAAATCATGACCCCTGGGGGTAGGGTGGGGCCACAAGGGGGAATCAAAGTTTTACATAGAAATATATAGGAAAAATTTTGAAAATCTTCTTCTCAAGAACCACTGGGCCAGAAAAGCTGAAACTTATGTGGACACATCCAAGGGTAGTGTAGATTCTAAATTGTTATCATTCTGTTGTTCACACCCTGTGTTTTGAGAACAACAGCTAGCTTTTGTAAATATATAGGAAAAATCTTTGATCTTGACCTTTGACATATTCTTTCAAGAACCACTGAGCCGAAGGCTCAAACTTTTCTGATCACATTTTGTCCGTAGGGAAGTGCAGTCTGTCTGTAAATTGTTAAAATCATGACAAACTTGCCACAAAGTAGGGTGGGGCCACAAGTTTGTACAAATCAAAGTTTTCATTCAAGGGGAAATACATGTTTATAGGAAAAATCTTTAAAAATCTTCTTCTCAAGAACCACTGTGCCAGGAAAGATGAAACTTATGTGGAAACATCCAAGTGTAGTGTGGATTCTAAATTGTTAAAATCATGACTCCCGGGGGTAGGGCGGGGCCACAAGGGGGAATCAAAGTTTTTACATAGAAATATATAGGAAAAATCTTTAAAAATCTTCTTCTCAAGAACCACAAAGCCATAATTCATCAAATTTATGTGGAAGCATCCAAGTGAAATTTAGATTCTAAATTGTTCAAATCATGACCCCTGGGAGTAGAGCGGTGCCACAATTAGGAATCCAAGTTTTACACTGAAATATATATATATATATGACAAAGAAAAATATATGGAAGCATGAAGTGTAATCAAGTTTCTTCAAATCATGACCCCCGGGGGAACCAATGGGACCAAACTTTTACATAGATATATATAGGAAAATTCTTTAAAAATTTTTCTTGTGTGGACAAAGCCATAATTCATCATATTTATATGGAAGCATGCTCAATAAGTGTAGATTCAAATTTGTTCAAATCATGACCCCCGGGGGTAGGGCGGGGCCAAAATGGCCGACCAAGGTTTTGAAGATATATATAGGAAAATTCTTTAAAAATCATTTTCTAAAAAATTGCAAATCCATATTGTATGTGTAGATTTCAAATTAACAATAAAAAATTATGATCAGTGGGATCAGGTGGGATGTCACAATCTTGTTTATTGTACAAATAAACAGTAAATCCTTTGAAAAATCAGTGGTAAATCTTATGATGTGCACTGTTTTTTAAACTTGTTTCAATTAATATTGACAGTACAGTCTAATTGACTTTGCCTTTGCCCTACTTTTCAGGAATACTTCAAACTATGTCCTATATCTTTTAATTTTGAGAGATAGGGGCTGGATAATTAGCTTATACATTCCCTACTTATAACGCCTTTATAGTTTTTCTAATGTTTTTTTAAAATCAGAAATTCATGTTCAGGAAAACAGTCATCATAACATATAGACCTTGAATTTGATCTGTGATTTATGCAGACCTTTGATATTCATATTCATATGACCAAAAGTTTTAAATTTTTGTACAAATAATTGGAGTTTTTGTGCCAATCCTTTGAAAAATCAGTGGTAAATCTTTTGTATGATGTGCACTGTTTTTTAATTTTCTTTTTAGAAAACAAGAAGTAATATTGAATACCATTTACATTCTTATAATAAAATGTACTTTGACATATTTTTTTGAAAATACTTAGTATTTTTTTCAATTTCACTAAAACAAAATGTGCAGTACTGAAATAAAGACAAGTCATGTATATATTTTAAGTTTGAAAAAAAACAATGGGGCGTCGTGATTTATTGCCGAAAGTACGTAAAATGTTACATTCCCATCGTTTATGGCATCATTGTTAATGAAACGTTCACAATTCATGCCGTATAATTATTTTTTCAGCAAACTTTGCATTAATTAAAGCAGACATCATCAAAATAACATCGTTATACGCGCAACACTATAACAACGACCGCTTTCCTGTGACCGCCGTGACTAAATGATTTTTATTAAACAAAAAACAAAATTATTATAACAGTTCATGTTAAAATTATTATTTATGTAATGCAATTACAAAATTGCATGTATTTATGCAGACTTTAAAATATTATGATATTCTAGAAGATACTGTAGCATATAACCAAATTATGATTTGAAATTTTTTGTCATTGCATTTTAACTGGATTTGTTTTTGTGCCAATCAATTATTTATATCTATTTTTTATTTACAGGAGAAGTTTTTTGAGAGTGGTGTAACCTACAGCATGGTTTCCAACATTCCAAAAGTGAGTTAATACAATCAAAGCCAAGAAAGAAAAATGTAAAGTCAATTTTGATCATATTATAATTTATTTACTATTGGTCTATAAGAGCTCTTTGAAATTCCTCTTTTGATAAGGCTTCTGAAGATTTGGAGAATATGGAAACCTTGGCCAAGATGGCCGCCTCTCAGAACGACATGAACACGGCCGATGGGGAGTCGTACATAGAGAAGTACCTTAAAGGTGTGCAGGGAGTGGAGAGTATACTGATGGTGGACAGACTCCGACAAGAAGTCGCCGTCAAAGAGCTGTCCTCTCAGAAGTCACGATCTCTCACCAAGACTTACAGCGTCCCAAACATACATCAGGTATCTGTCGAACGGCAGTTTTTATTAGGAACAGATTTGAATTTAAGCATTGACAATTTAGAACAATATCCATATGTTTTAACACAGTGGTACAGTGATAAAATAGTGATAACTCTCATAGAGAAACCTTCTGACCTTTTATGCACATGCATATCTGCATATTCTGCTTGTACCAAGCGTCTAGAGATGAGGAAGCTGTGTAATGATATACTTTGCACATGCTTTTACACTAACATAGAAATCTTAGTCAAATTCTTCTTAACATTTCTGCTTATGTGTAGTTGCTACTTAATAGAGTGCAGTGATTTTAATGCAATTAACATTGTTTTCAGAGTGTGATGTCACCATTGCAGGATAGACAGGTATTTTTCTAACAATCATTACTGTTAAATCACTAATTTTCTTGGGGATTCTGATAGTAGCATCTGTCATATATTGATCATCTGCTATGTTCTACCTTTATAGCTCACCTCAAAAAAGTTAAGGGAGGTTATGTAATACCCACTACATCAGCATTTCACATTTAAATTTTTGGTGCAGCTTTCACTTGAGTTTTTCTGTACCTTTTATTGATCAGAAATACTTAGACGTTACTCTTTAAATGTTTCATTTTTCTAGTTAGGTTTTAAAATAATGCATTTCAAGTTTTAAGTTTATTATTGAGAAACTACAATGACAACCTGAACCAAACTTGCATGGATTATGCATCAAGGGATGCACACTACTGGCTTTGCTGCAGATGCTGGATTAGACCTACATTTTCTGAATGAGGGGTATTATTCAAGTATTCAGACCAGGTTCGTTTCAGTGCAATTTCAAGCCCCATCTGGACCAATCTTGAATGGATTTAGCATCTAGGGATGCACATATCAGACTTGCTTTGGTTGGTGGGTTTGATCTTTCTCTTCTAGAAGAGTGATCAGGAATAAAATTTAGGAGCAGGCTCATTACAGTGTAACATAAAGACCTCTCTGGACCAAACTTGCAAGGATTTTGCAACTAGGAATGTTCTGGATGGTGGAATTTATCTTTATTTTCAGGATGAGCGACCAAGTTAAATTTTTTGGATTTAGTTCATTCCAGAGTAACTTCAATCCTACATGAACTTAACTTGCAGGGGTGCTGCATCCAGAAATGCACATTCTTAGACCTGCTTCAAATGCTGGATCTGATCTGATCTTCATTTTTCAAATGATTGACAAAGTTTATGATTTTTGAAAAGGTTCATTCCAGTTAGGGATTTTGCTTTGGAGTGCTAGATGTAACCTAAATTTCTGAATGTATGACTATGATAATGTGTTAAGAGCAGGACCATTTCCAAGTACACCACCAGATTTGTGATTACAGTGGGACTTGGCTTAATTTAAAAAAAATAAAAAAAATCATCATTTGTTGAGGTGAGCTGTATAATCCTTGATTTCCCTAGTTTGATTATTGCTGCCCCAAAACCAATGATCAAATAATGCAAGCACTTGAATCCAACTGAAACCTTGTTGTAATTTCATCAATTTATTATAATAAGAAAATTCTAAAATTAAAATACAGTTGTATTCCTAGCAATTCATTATGTAAAAATGTGTTTGTTTGATTTATTGATACATGGGTTGGAAAATCTTACCAGGTATATATAATTTTGTATTTATTTTTTGCAGCAGAATCTTCGAGCAGACAGTATACAGGATTTGTCACATGACCTGAGTTTGTCTCCGGCTCGACTTGGATCCCCAGGTAATGGGTGATTTTGTCTGAAAGTGCTAAAAAAGACACTCTGTTCAATAGCACCAGGACTTTATTGTGGGGAAAATATCATAATTGGACTGAGGTGCACAAAGACAAACTTACAGTCAAACAATATTTATTGCTTTCAGCTTCTTATTTGGATCTTAATACTCAATTTCTGAACTTTTTTTCTATGGACAAATGGGAAACAAAAACTTCATTTCATTGTTCTTTCCTCCCCTTCCCCCATGGGCTTGAGGAGTGGGGCTAAATCCTTCAAAATTTAGTCCTTCTTCAATTTTTTAAATTGTGAAAATAGTGGCCCCAGGGTCAAGGGTTCTGGTGTTAAGATGGGGATATACTGATCATATGGTGAAAATACATAAATTGGTTAAAAATCTCTTTCTCTCCCTCTGTATATTTAACAGAATAAATAAATGGACGTACCAATAGTACCTGTTCCAACCTGGCTCAGGAGTTCTGTGGTTTCTGCAGGGTAGGAAAGAAAATCAGTTAAAACTCAACCATTCTAGAGTCGATAAAAATCAGTTATCACTCAACCATCCTTGGGTAGGAAAGAAAATTAGTTATAACTCAACCATCCTAGAGTAGAAAAAAAATTTGTTATCACTCAACCATCCTTTTGTAGAAAGAAAATCAGTTATCATTCCTCCTTGGGTAAAAATGAAAATGTCTCTCAAGGATGAGTATAAAACTATGACCACTTATCTCCATGAAGATTTAACTCTGCCCTTATAAAGCATCCTTTACAGGGTTGTATTTTACTCAGTCCTTAAAAAGCATCCTTTACAGGGTTATATTTTACTTAGCACTTATAAAGTTTCCTTTACAGGGTTGTATTTTACTTTGTCCTTATAAAGCATCCTTTACATTTTTATGCCCCCCTTCGATGAAGGGAGGGCATATTGCTTTGCTGTTGTCGGTCTGTCGGTCCACTTAGTTTCTGTTAATTTTCATCACAACCATTGCACATATGGAAATGAACTTTGGTATACAGATTTATCAGCTGAGTATCTAGGTCAAGTTGTGTTTGGGGTATGATCGCACCATTTTTAGCTCACCTGAGCCGAAGGCTCAAGTGAGCTTTTCTGATCACATTTTGTCCGGCGTCCGTCTGTCCGTCTAGCTGTCCGTCTGTCTGTCTGTCCGTAAACTTTTCACATTTTTGACTTCTTCTCAAGAACCGCTGGGCCAATTTCAACCAAACTTGCCACAAAGTATCCTTGGGTGAAGGGGATTCAAGTTTGTTCAAATGAAGGGCCACGCTCTCATTCAAGAGGAGATAATTGGGAATTAATGAAAATTTGGTGGCATGTTTTAAAAATCTTCTTCTCAAGAACCACTGTGCCAGGAAAGATGAAACTTATGGGGAAACATCCTCAGGTAGTGTAGACTCAAGTTTGTTCAAATCATGACACCCGGGGGTAGGGCGGGGCCACAATGGCCGACCAAAGTTTTACATAGAAATAAACAGGAAAATTCTTTAAAAATCTTCTTCTCAAGAATGGCAAAGCCATAATTGATCATATTTATATGAAAGCATCCTCAGGTAGTGTAGAATCAAGTTTGTTCAAATCATGACCCCCGGGGGTAGGGTGGGGCCACAATGGCCGACCAAAGTTTTACATAGAAATAAACAGGAAAATTCTTTAAAAATCTTCTTCTCAAGAATGGCAATGCTATAATTGATCATATTTATATGGAAGCATCCTCAGGTAGTGTAGACTCAAGTTTGTTCAAATCATGACCCCCTGGGGTAGGGCGGGGCCACAATGGCCGACCAAAGTTTTACATGGAAATAAACAGGAAAATTCTTTAAAAATCTTCTTCTCAAGAATGGCAAAGCCATAACTGATCATATTTATATGAAAGCATCTTCAGGTAGTGTAGATTCAAGTTTGTTCAAATCATGACCCCTGGGGGTAGGGCGGGGCCACAATGGCCGACCAAAGTTTTACTTAGAAATATACAGGAAAATTCTTTAAAAATCTTCTTCTCAAGAATGGCAAAGCCATAATTGATCATATTTATATGAAAGCATCCTCAGGTAGTGTAGATTTAAGTTTGTTCAAATCATGACCCCTGGGGGTAGGGCGGGGCCACAATGGCCCACCAAAGTTTTACATAGAAGTAAACAGGAAAATTCTTTAAAAATCTTCTTCTCAAGAATGGCAAAGCCATAATTGATCATATTTATATGAAAGCATGCTCAGGTAGTGTAGATTCAAGTTTGTTCAAATCTTGACCCCTTGGGGTAGGGCGGGGCCACAATGGCCGACCAAAGTTTTACATAGAAATATACAGGAAAATTCTTTAAAAATCTTCTTCTCAAGAATGGCAATGCTATAATTGATCATATTTATATGGAAGCATCCTCAGGTAGTGTAGACTCAAGTTTGTTCAAATCATGACCCCCTGGGGTAGGGCGGGGCCACAATGGCCGACCAAAGTTTTACATAGAAATATAAAGGAAAATTCTTTAAAAATCTTCTTCTCAAGAATAGCAAAGCTATAATTGATCATATTTATATGAAAGCATCCTCAGGTAGTGTAGATTCAAGTTTGTTCAAATCATGACCCCTGGGGGTAGGGCGGGGCCACAATGGCCGACCAAAGTTTTACATAGAAGTAAACAGGAAAATTCTTTAAAAATCTTCTTCTCAAGAATGACAAAGCCATAATTGATCATATTTATATGAAAGCATGCTCAGGTAGTGTAGATTCAAGTTTGTTCAAATCTTGACCCCTGGGGGTAGGGCGGGGCCACAATGGCCGACCAAAGTTTTACATAGAAATATACAGGAAAATTCTTTAAAAATCTTCTTCTCAAGAATGGCAATGCTGTAATTGATCATATTTATATGGAAGCATCCTCAGGTAGTGTAGACTCAAGTTTGTTCAAATCATGACCCCCTGGGGTAGGGCGGGGCCACAATGGCCGACCAAAGTTTTACATAGTAATATAAAGGAAAATTCTTTAAAAATCTTCTTCTCAAGAATAGCAAAGCTATAATTGATCATATTTATATGGAAGCATCCTCAGGTAGTGTAGATTCAATTTTGTTCAAATCATGACCCCCGGGGGTAGGGCGGGGCCACAATGGCCGACCAAAGTTTTACATAGATATATTTAGGAAAATTCTTTAAAAATCTTCTTTTAGTGAAGCTATGATTGGTCATGGGACTACTTTTGGATTTGAACTTTTCAATAATAAACCAATTCTACTTTTTCCTAGCCAAAGTGCTCGGGTGAGCGATGTGGCCCATGGGCCTCTTGTTGTCAGAGTTATGCCCCTTGGACTTAGAAAAATTCCAATTATTTGCAGTTTCCATTCTTTTTATTTGCAGCGGTTGCACATATTAAAATGAAATTTGGTATACAGATGTATAAGCTGAATATCTAGGTCAAGTTCTGTTTTGGGTATGATCGCACCATTTTTGATAAGTTATGCCCCTTGGAATACCAATTTGGGGGAGGGGGCATAAGTGTTTTACAAACACCTCTTGTTGTATTTTACTCAGTCCTCATAAAGCATCCTTTACAGAGTTGTTTTTTACTCAGTCCTTATAAAGCATCCATTACAGGGTGTATTTTACTTACCCCTCATAAAGTTTCCTTTACAGGGTTGTATTTTACTCAGTCCTTATAAAGCATCCTTTACAGGGTTGTATTTATGAAGCATCCTTTACAGGGTTGTATTTTACTCAGTCCTTATAAAGCATCCTTTACAGGGTTGTGTTTTACTCAGTCCTTATAAAGCATCCTTTACAGGGTTGTATTTTACTCAATCCTTATAAAGCATCCTTTACAGGGTTGTGTTTTACTCAGTCCTTATAAAGCATCCTTTACAGGGTGTATTTTACTCAATCCTTATAAAGCATCCTTTACAGGGTGTATTTTACTCAGTCCTTATAAAGCATCCTTTACAGGGTGTATTTTACTCAGTCCTTATAAAGCATCCTTTACAGGGTGTATTTTACTCAATCCTTATAAAGCATCCTTTACAGGGTGTATTTTACTCAGTCCTTATAAAGCATCCTTTACAGGGTTGTATTTTACTCAATCCTTATAAAGCATCCTTTACAGGGTTGTGTTTTACTCAATCCTTATAAAGCATCCTTTACAGGGTGTATTTTACTCAGTCCTTATAAAGCATCCTTTACAGGGTGTATTTTACTCAATCCTTATAAAGCATCCTTTACAGTGTCCTTATAAAGCATCCTTTACAGGGTGTATTTTACTCAATCCTTATAAAGCATCCTTTACAGGGTATATTTTACTCAGTCCTTATAAAGCATCCTTTACAGGGTGTATTTTACTCAGTCCTTATAAAGCATCCTTTACAGGGTGTATTTTACTCAGTCCTTATAAAGCATCCTTACAGAGTTGTATTTTACTCAGTTGACTGTTGAGGCCCTTGGGACTCTTGTCTTTCTCTAAAATGATAAAAGGCCAAACCTCCTATCCTGATCATGTCTTAGAACGGACCCCAAATTGTTTTTGTGTTATATAGTGAAATGTTACTACAATACATGTTCTGCAATACCCTGCATCAGTGCTTTTGTAGCAGAGTGATGTCACCCACACCTCAGGCTACTTTTGTTTATTTTGCATTGTTAAACACTTAAAGTTCAACAAAGAAGATTGTCAGTCTTTTGACATTTGTCAGCTGATCTGATAAGCTGGAGTATTTGGTATCATGGCATTTGTTGTTTTTCAGAGAGACCAAACTTTCTGAATTTGAGATCTCTTGCGATCTCACAACGTACGTGTACTACTCTTCTCTCGATGTGTTACCACGGTAGTAACAGTTTGATTCACCTCCCTCCTCGCATAATGCATGGATGTTGTAAAGCATTGAAAATATTCTCAAGTAAATGTTGTAAATTTAGCATGCTCCATAGGAATTTTGTTTTCTTCTTTCATGTGAAAAAAGTATTCCCTTTCATAGAATTTAAAAAAAATTTTTGATTGTAGGATGTGTGAAGTAATTGATCAATTACATCTCAATTAAAATGTGTTTTATAGTGCAAAACAAAATATTGAGTGTGTATCATTACCGCTACATTTTCAAAATTTTCATTTCCGCTATGTAGTCATTACCGCTACAAAAAAAGTTACGTTACCGCTACATATAAACGTATACATAACCGCTACATTGCCTCTTTCATTAGCCAGCCACTTTTGCTTATATGTAAATAGGTTGATTTAGAGTACAACATATACATGCAAAAGACATTTTCCCCCTTGCTCATCACGGGAAGTTGAAAGTAGGACTTTGAGCATAATGTTTTTTTAATATAATTTTTATTTAAAATCTATTTAATTTCATAAAACACTTTTAAAAAAATTTCATAAAACACTTTTAAAAAATTAAATCAGGCAGATATATTTACATTTGCAAATGTTGTCCTCTATATAACACTACTGAAAGCAATGTGTATCTATAACTATATTATTAAATACCGGTACGTGGTCAAGAGGTCATAGATGTGCGTATGGATAATCGTTTGACGTAATTTCTCAGTGACGTCATAAAGGGTCGACGCGCTTTCATTGGATTGTATACATGCCGTTGGGTTTGAAAAATAATGCATTTCACACGTTAAAAGTCACAATCAGGCAAATATAAAGTATGAATAAGTCACAAATGTAAATATAAGGAACAAGGTATCATTTTAAAACATCTCTCGGGCTATAAATACTGGTTGGTACAAGATTAAATTCATCATAAAGCCCTTTGGGCTTTATGGAATTTAATCTCGTGACCAACCCGTATTTATAGCCCGATAGATGTTTAAAAATGATACCTTATTTCTTAAATAAAATCCTACATTCACGTGCGCCTCCAAAATGTGTAGAATGAGACATGCATCTCATATAAGAAGTCAAATATTTAAAGCATTACATGATCATATTCTGTACCATATCTGGCTGATGCTATATGTAGCGGTAATGTGTTGTTTTCAGCTGATTCAATATGTAGTGGTAATAAGTTGTTTTTGAGCAAAAAAATGTAGCGGTAATGATCGGTCGAAAATGTGAAAAAATGTAGTGGTAATGAGTTGAAATTTTGGGCGATGTAGCGGTAATGTTGACCTCCCAAAATATAAATAAGCTGAGTTGTTTTGATTTGTCCATTGTCTTTTGTCTAACCAATTAATAGACCAATTTTAACCAGACTTGCCAGAAAAGCATCCTTGGGTGAAGGGGATGAAAATTTGTTCAAATGAAGATCCAAAGAGATAAGCAAAACAAGACAACCTGGGTAGAGTTTTAAAAAAATTCAATAAACACTTAGCTAGAACTACATGTATTCATTACCAGCTGAAATCAAAGAGTCGACCACTCACATATTACATGAATTCCATTGAAAACTTAAGTACATGTATGTGCGGTGTTTTTTGTAGCAAGATTATTTAGTTTGCGCGTTGATTTATAGTTTTCAAAAATTCTTGTTTCTTCAAAGATTTGAATCTAGATAAATAAGTGTCAATAGGAAAAGTTCATCTTTTTTTGTCTTTTATTTGCATGAATGTGTGCTTATTTTGTTGCTCAGCTTTGTCACAAAATACTGATATGTCTATTTAATAAATTGTCCTTTGAAATACATAGTTTTGACAAATTTTGGGAATTTAATTTCATTTATTCTGGTGAAAGGATTTATCAACAAAATTAAATCCCTAGTAGCGAAATTTTTCCTGGACACATACTGCAATGTTATGATTATTCATGAAATAAGAAATTAAGTGCCAAAAAGTCATATTAACACTTAATTTAATGAAATTTTATATATAAGAAAATTAATGTATTAAATTTTTATATCTCATTTTTTTTCATTTTAAACAGCTCTGGCCAAGTCTGCCTTGAGTCCTCACGGTGTGAAGGCCATAAAACCCCTAAATACCCTCCAGGAGGAGCAGAACCGACGAGAGAGGAAACCCCTACTGAGGGGGGACACAGACGAGGTCAGGGTTATAACCTCATACAGGGCCACAGTCAATTTACAGGTCACCTGAGTCGCTCAAGCCATCTATTGCTATCTGTTTTTGTCCTTCGTCATGCATCCTCTATAAGTATTTGAACATTTTCAACTTTTTCTCTGAAACTGGCCTACTGTTGAACCAGTTTCAACCAATTTTAGCATCTAGCATTTATGTGTTAAAGGGAACAAAAATTGTGAATTTCATGGCTTCCTTCTTTCCTGGGGCCTGAGATGTGGGCCAAAACCATTAGATTAATGTAATCTTTTTAAAATCTGCTTATAGCTTAAGATTATACCTGTAGTGTATCTGTAGAGTAAATGTGTAATTACTTCTTCTTTTGTTCGCAGGAGTTGGAGGATGAAGATTTAGTGAACAAGACACAGTCCTCTAAAATTGATACAGATCCTAACAGTGGAGCATCAGATGACTTCCAGGAGTTTGAGTCTTACCATCCCATAGAAGAGAGCCAGAAAACAGTGACCTCAGGTAGTACTGAAAGAACGACATTGACATGGTCATGATGAAATCTCTTTGTGAAGTTTTCTTATCTTGCTTATATACTCACTATAAGTTGGACTTCTGAAACCCCAAGTATATCCTACTGTTTAACTTTTCTGTAGTCTTACCGTTTTTCTACAACAAACCTTAGATTATATTTTTTTGCTTATCAGTGACTTATTTTAACATATAACATAATTTAAAGAAGAATCATTTTTAGTCTGAATTTTCATCCCCTGCTTTCACTGAAAGTAGGAAATATTAACTTGCCTGCCATCCATCTTTCTTTCAGTCAGACAGTCAATGTGTAACACTTGTTTCAGGATAATATCTCAAAGAAGCTTCTGAACTTTTGCAATGAAATTTTATGATACGATTTGCTATAACATAAAGAAGACTCCTATTAATTTTGAGGTCGAAAGATTATTGTCTAAAATTATTAAATGTCCCTGTGTAACATTTTCATACCTGGATGGTATCTTTGTATCCATCAGATGATATTCTTGTGCTCAATACCAGTGAAAGAATGGAAAATTTTTCAAAAGCGTTGTAAGTTAGAATTAAATTTCTGAGTCTAAAGTTAATAGTTTCAGGATGAGGTTGCAGAAATATTTATTCACATGTATGATGTGTTGTAGATGGGTTAGCCCACTCCTGTACAAGTGACAGCCTAGCTGATGTACAATGTAAAAATTTCACCCCAAGTCTTGTCTCCAGTGGTTACGGATCACAGGCTGTTTCCATGTTAACTCTGTCATCTGAGGATTCACTCAGTATCAAAAGTATAGAGGACAATGTAGAATCTAAAAGAGGACATAAAGGCAGTCCGGAGCAAACAAGTAGCGACTCGGATAATGAGGAGAACAAAGAGGTTCCCATTAAACTTACCAATAGTGATTCTGAGACAGTGGAAGTTCAGAAGGAGGCTATGACCTCAATTTCTGAAAGCAATATTCATATAGCAGAAAATAAAGCTGAGGAGAGAGAAGAGCTGAATAAGTCAAATGTGGATTCAAATTGTTCATTAGATACTTCTACTTCATCTTTAGAAGCCAGAGATGGAAGTTTAGCAGAAAAACCTGATCCCAATGACAGTAATGTTCATTCTGCAAGTTGTGATACATCTTTATGTGAATTAAGTAGTGATGTTGAAACATCAAACATTGAAGTGGATTCGTCAATAATTTCTCAGTCTGAAAAATTAAAACGATCAAAGGAGGAGAGGAAAAAAATTGTTGAAAGTCTTGGTGCTATAAGTAAAGACACTACAACAAGAAAGGTGAATAAAGAAAACAGGAAGAAGTCAGAGGGTGCGTCACAAAGGGCCAGTGCAATAAGTGAATTTGTGGATCCCTACAGTGAAACAGCCATGGAGGAGCTGGAAAAGTTAGCCGCTGAGGAGGAGGAGGAGTCAGAAGAATGTCCAGAGAAAGTGCCTCCAGTCAGGACTGTGGAGCCGCATATATCAGAGACAACGGGGAAATGTCCATCAGGAAAACGGAGCCAGCAGCGCCCGGTGTCCTGTGTAGTGTCCCCCTCACGAGACATGGTGTCTATCTTGGAGGAGAGCATGAAGAGGAACAGCCTTACTCTCCACCTCTCTGATGATGAAGAAATGTCTGGTAGGTATTCAAACTGTTGTTTTGGAGTTTGAACATTTGTAAATTATGTTAAGCTTTCAGCAGACTGGCTTTTTATCTCACCTTTTAGCTTTTCTGATCAAAATTTGTCCTTTGTCTGTCGTTATTGTCGTTGTCATTAACTTTTCACATTTTCATCTTCTTCTCAAGAACCACTGGACCAATTTCAACCAAACTTGCTACAAAGCATTGTTGGATGAAGGGGATTCAAGTTTGTTCAAATGAAGGGCCACACCCTCTTCTAAGGGGAGATAATTTCTAAAAAATCTTCTCAAAAACCACTGGGCCAGGAGATGAAACTCATGTTGAATCATCCTCAGGTAGTGTACATTAAAATTTGTTCAAATCATGACCCCATGGAGTAGGGTGTGGCCACGATGGCCGATCAAAGTTTTACATAGGAATATGTAGGAAAAATCTTTAAAAATCTTCTTCTGAAGATCCATAGGGACAGGAAAGATGAAACTCATGTTGAATCTTCCTCAGGTAGTGTACATTCAAGTTTGTTCAAATCATGAACCCCGGGGCTAGGGTGGGGCCACAATGGCCAATCAAAGTATTACATAGGAATATATAGGGAAATCTTTAGAAATTTTTCGTCTCAAGTACTGCAAAGCCATGATTAGTGATATTTACAGGTATATAGAAGCAACCTCAGGTACTGTAGATTCTAGTTTGTTCCTAGGGATAGGGTGGGGCCACAATGGGTGATCCAACTTTTACATTAAAATATATTTTAAAAAATCTTTTTTAGCCGGGCTTATTGCTCAAAGAGCAATTGCCTGCTTATGTCATCCTGTTCAAGGCAGGAAGTCAACCCCATAGTCGCCATTTTAAAGTTACGTGCAAAAATATAGTTCTTACTCTCAACCGCTTTTGAGATACCGGTAATACAAAATTAATGCTAAATAAAGCAACAAAAATAAAACTAGATGCTGTCATGAGACAGTAATACCCGCACTATGGTGTTTGCCTCTAAATGCACACTTCTTCATATTGGGCTTTACCAAGGAAAAAGTCAGTATAATTCAATACATAATACATGTATTCATCAAATTGAGCATAATATGCTCAGGTGACCATGTAGCTGCAGATCTGGTTTTATATATTTGTCTTTGATCATAACGCTACAGATCCCCATATGCAAAAAAGGTGCAATTTACGCGCAATATTTTTTTTAGCACTTTTGGGCAGAATTTCTCCACTTTCTAGCATTAGTCAATCAACTACCTTTCACTCCCTAATTTTGGACACATTCTCTGGCCAATATGTATATTTTGTCCACCTCCCAGCCATTTATAGTAATCTCTACAGGCAATAAACTCGCTTGATGTGAATTTTCAGCAATCTAACAAATAATTTTAATCGAGTTTATCTCGAGTAGAGACGACTATAAAGGGTTGGGAGATGGATAAAATATACAGATTGATTAAATAATGTGCCTAAAATTAGGAATTGATAGGTAGTAAATTGACCGATGCTGGAAAGTGGAGAAATTCTCCCCAGAAGTGCGCAAAAAATATTGCGCCGTAAATTGCACCTTTTTTGCATTACAGGATCTGCAGTCAAATACTAATATATAAAACCATAACGCTACAGATCTGCAGCTAGTGACCATGTGACCCATGGGCCTCCATTTTATAGGTATTTCATATTCTTAATTCATTACCAGTCGGAAATTAAACTACAGAATTTAATTAATGATGTAAATTAGGTTTGATAAAGGGGGGGGGGGGTAGGATTTTTGGCACATAATTGGAACTTTTTAAATCTATTTTCTCATATAGATTAACAACAAATAATATATTATTCAAATTAGTGTAAAGCGTTTTTGATGAATTTTTCAATATGTGCAAAGTGTATTTATATTTGATTAGGCAGAAACTTCTTGAAAGCTGCCATATACACAATCAATTTAATGGTCAACCCCCACCCGTCTCCCATCAACACACACACACACAAACACACCTTATTTGTCTGTTTTTGCAAATAGGCCTAGATTGCAAAGCTAAAATAAAACATCTTTTGTAAATGATAATTTTCAATTTGTTCTTGCACTATACATGTATCTAAACACCTGCATCACATTTGGCTTGCGTCACGTACCCAACTTAAGTACTAGTTTTACCATTGGCATTATCATTTTAGATTTCACTGCACGTGCAGTAGGATACTAGTGTGCATCATTGCATATATGTCGGTAGGAATTATTTCATTTTGTGTTTTAACTGGAATATATTTCATGAAGATGACAGGGCCTAAATAATAACAATCGGTAAGTACAAGTTTTGGTATAGATTTGGGTAAAATAGTCTGAAATGCAAACGGTTAGGTTAAAGTTTAAAGGATCAAAGGTCATCCGATGCTACAATAGACGAATTTCACATTCTGAAGAGTTATCCCCCGTTATCAACGTTACATTCAGTTACAAGATCCAGAATTTTTTTTCTGGGAGGGAGGGGGGGGGGGGGGGGTTCCAGACCAGAATTTCCTGAGAAGCAAGAAAAAAAAGAAGTTATGGTTTGGTCTGTTTTCTAGGGTGGAGGGACACTTAGGGCATCCAAAGTCATTTTTATTTCCTCCAGTATATATTATAGTCCTGCAAATTCCGGGGGAAGGGGGGGGGGTGTTGAGGGGATCTCCCAATCCACTTCCCTGTCCCTGTAATGACAAATGATCATGTGACTCCTAAATAGTAGGAAACTTTTTCCATTTGACTATACATAATATTGTTTCTTGTGTTATTATGTTATGTAAATTTAATGGTATAAAGGTTATGAACCCCTAGAGGTCATCCTCACTCTCCTAATGAGCTGGAAATGTTCACAATATGACTGCCTTAAATTAAATAAAAGTGCATCAATGATAAGATTACTTGACATTTTATTCATGAATTTGTGTCAACATATCTTCCTAGAATTAGGAATGAGAATCATTCAGAGATGGACCACATTAAACTATTTGTATAAACATTTTTTTTTTTGCATACATGAACAAACAGGGGTCTGGGAAGGGGTGAGGGGAAGGATCGAGTTAATATTTCTTTAGGTCTTAATGGTTGAAAACTCCTAAAATGAATGTTGACCTCAAATCTAACTTGTCCTCATTATTTTTCAAATGGTGGTGTCTCCATATGAGTGAAAAATTCCTGTTAACTTGTACAAAATGACATAAAAACACAATATTGATTTGCGTTAAGAAATATGCAGGGGATTTTTTCCATCATAAATCTTCTTCTCAAGAACAGCAAGAGCATTCTTGTCCCCCATTTTGGGGAAAGGGAGGGGACACTAAATCTCATTTGTCTGTCAGTCTGTCCATCTTATTGACAGCTAGTATGTGCATCTGTCACAATAAATTTAACCTTGGTCATAACTTTTGAATGATAAGAGATAGTGCTTTCATATTTCACATGCACATTACCACAAAACTTTCTAAATATACTATGATTTTTTAACCCAAGTGAGACCTTGACCTTAAAGTTTTACCTACTTTCCAAAAAATAACATTTTAAATTGATCATTTTGAAAGAGAAAAGAAAGGGCATTCAGATTATACATGTTTATTACATGTGAAAAGACTTTTCTAAATATATCATGACTTTTGACTCTGTGACCTTGACCTAGAAGTTTAACCTACTTTTCAAAAATATTATATTGTATATATAACTTTTGATTCAAAAGAGATAGGACTTTCATATTTGACATGTACATTACCTGCAACAAAATGTTTCAGAGCATGCTATGATTTTTCCCCTTTGACCCAATTTTCAAAAATTGATATATGATAGGGGTGCATATTTGACACACAATCTGCCATAAATTATGGTATCTCATTCAGTAAAACACAGAAAGCAGAGGACCACAATTCTTTGAATTTGCTTGTATAATCTTGATAGATGGAACATGCTCATATAATGTAGATTCAAGTTTTTTATGCCACACCATGATTAGGAATACATGTATAGTTTTTGTCATGTCCGTCCTCCACCCTTCCATCTGTCTTTCCATTGGGCTCAAAGAAACTTTCTAGATATTTTTATCAAAGTTCATATGTTGATGCATACTGATGTAAATATCCAACTGCAGCAATATTTTTTGACTTTGACTTTTCCTTTGACCTTCACTTAACTTTTCTTTAAATTAGTGTTTAGCTTTATTTTAAAGAAACCATTCAAGTTGTGTAATGAAACTTCACATGATGATACATACTGATGTAAGCTTTACGATGCTTCACTCTTTTTTACCTTGACTTTTCCTGTGACCTTGATATCACTTTTCTAAAATTAATGTCTAGACCAGTTTTGAATAAACAATTCAAGATATATTTATCAAACCTCATATGCTGATACATACTGCTAAGAGCTATTAATACGTCAACTTATTTTGACCTTGAATTTTCCTTTGACCTTGACCTCACTTTTTAAAATATCATTTTTCGACACCATTAGTCCCCCCGGGGCAAATTCAACATTCCAAAACCTTACTGTACATCTACATGACACCACCAACCATCTCCCAAAAGATGATTAGGCTACTGTGTAAAATGTAAGAGGAGTTCAGGGAAAACAGGGCTTTTTGCATAAAAAACGTCGAAACATTGCTGCACATTACATGACACCACCAACCATCTCCCAAAAGATGATTAGCCTACTGTGTAAAATGTAAGAGGAGTTCAGGGAAGACGGGGCTTTTTTTCGACCCCCATTTGACCCCCCGGGGCAAAATCAAAATTCCGAAACATTGCTGCACATCTACAGGACACCACCAACCATCTCCCAAAAGATGATTAGCCTACTGTGTAAAATGTAAGAGGAGTTCAGGGAAGACGGGGCTTTTTGCATAAAAAACATCATTTTTCGACCCCCATTTGACCCCCTGGGGCCAAAATTCTGAAACTTTACTGCACATCGGGCAAACCATCTCAAAAGAATTAGGCTACTGTGTAAAATGTAAGAGGAGTTCAGGGAAGACAGGGCTTTTTGCATAAAAAAACATCATTTTTTGACCCCCATTTGACCCCCAGGGGCAAAATCAAAATTCCTTACTGCACATCTACAGGACACCACCAACCATCTCCCAAAAGATGATTAGGCTACTGTGTAAAATGTAAGAGGAGTTCAGGGAAGACGGGGCTTTTTGCATAAAAAACATCATTTTTCGACCCCCATTTGACCCCCCGGGGCAAAATCAAAATTCCGAAACCTTACTGCACATCTACAGGACACCACCAACCATCTCCCAAAAGATGATTAGGCTACTGTGTAAAATGTAAGAGGAGTTCAGGGAAGACGGGGCTTTTTGCATAAAAAACATCATTTTTCGACCCCCATTTGACCCCCTGGGGCAAAATCAAAATTCTGAAACTTTACTGCACATCTACAGGACACCACCAACCATCTCCCAAAAGATGATTAGCCTACTGTGTAAAATGTAAGAGGAGTTCAGGGAAGACAGGGCTTTTTGCATAAAAAACATCATTTTTCGACCCCCATTTGACCCCCAGGGGCAAAATCAAAATTCTGAAACTTTACTGCACATCTACAGGACACCACCAACCATCTCCCAAAAGATGATTAGGCTACTGTGTAAAATGTAAGAGGAGTTCAGGGAAGACGGGGCTTTTTGCATAAAAAACATCATTTTTCGACCCCCATTTGACCCCCCGGGGCAAAATCAAAATTCCGAAACCTTACTGCACATCTACAGGACACCACCAACCATCTCCCAAAAGATGATTAGCCTACTGTGTAAAATGTAAGAGGAGTTCAGGGAAGACGGGGCTTTTTGCATAAAAAACATCATTTTTCGACCCCCATTTGACCCCCTGGGGCAAAATCAAAATTCCGAAACCTTACTGCACATCTACATGACACCATCAACCATCTCCCAAGAGATGATTAGGCTACTGTGTAAAATGTAAGAGGAGTTCAGGGAAGACGGGGCTTTTTGCATAAAAAACGTCCGTACCCCCATTTGACCCCCCGGGGCAAAATCAAAATTCCGAAACCTTACTGCACATCTACATGACACCATCAACCATCTCCCAAAAGATGATTAGGCTACTGTGTAAAATGTAAGAGGAGTTCAGGGAAGACGGGGCTTTTTGCATAAAAAACATCATTTTTACCCCCATTTGACCCCCCGGGGCAAAATCAAAATTCCGAAACCTTATTGCACATCTACATGACAACACCAACCATCTCCCAAAAGATGATTAGCCTACTGTGTAAAATGTAACAGGAGTTCAGGGAAGACGGGGCTTTTTGCATAAAAAGCATCATTTTTCGACCCCCATTGGACTCCCCAAGGCAAAATTAAAATTCCGAAACATTACTGCACATCTACATGACACCACCAACCATCTCCCAAAAGATGATTAGGCTACTGTGTAAAATGTAAGAGGAGTTCAGGGAAGACGGGGCTTTTTGCATAAAAAACGTCATTTTTCGACCCCCATTTGACCCCCTGGGGCAAAATCAAAATTCCGAAACCTTACTGCACATCTACAGGACACCACCAACCATCTCCCAAAAGATGATTAGCCTACTGTGTAAAATGTAAGAGGAGTTCAGGGAAGACGGGGCTTTTTGCATAAAAAACGTCATTTTTCGACCCCCATTTGACCCCCCAGGGCAAAATCAAAATTCCGAAACCTTACTGCATATTTACATGACACCACCAACCATCTCCCAAAAGATGATTAGGCTACTGTGTAAAATGTAAGAGGAGTTCAGGGAAGAAAAGTGTGACAGACGGACGGACGGACGGACGGACGGACATGAGTAACAACAATATACCCGAACTTTCTTTAGAAAGTGCGGGTATAACGAAGTTTTATCTATATAAATAAACATTAGTAGAAATGGCTTTGGAAACCTCAGTCCTAAGTCAAAGAACATAGTTCATTAGCGTAAGGATTTTTGATAATCAGTGTTATCGTAGTTCTCTACACATACGAGGTAAAGCAGGAGAGGGAACCAGACTTGACTGTTTGTTTACATTCAGCTGCGACACCAGATTAATTCTGATTCTGACAAAATCGGATCGTGGTATTAGGATTGAAAAACTCACTGTCAGTGTCTTATCATTTATATTGATAGTTTTAAAATAATTTTTTCATCAGAATATAAACGTGATTCATGTAAGAAATTCATTCTACTCTGTAAATGAGCCCGGCTCTCTGTACTTCTGAGTACTTTGATCTATAAAGAAAACAAAGCCATGGTTAGTGATATTTATATTGAAGGATCCTTAGGTAGTGTAGAATTAAATTTGTTCAAATCAAAACCTCCAAGGGTAGAGTGGGGTTTCAATGGTGGATCAAAGTTTTACATAGGGAAATGAAGGGGAAAATCTCAATAACAGAAAAGCTGTGTTAAGTCATATTGACATGTAAGCATCCTCATGTATTGAAGATTTAAATTTGTTCAAATCATGAGTACCCATTGGGGTAGGCAGGGAAAGAATGGCAGACCTCTTTACTCTTACGATTTTGCCGTATTTTATATGGATTTTTAGTCCACAATACATCTCATGTTTTGCTATTTTGAAAATACAGAAATCGGAAATACATGTCTTTGGAATTCAGCAATTAGTTTTCGTTTTGATTATACCCCCCGCAAACGAAGTTTTACAGGAATGTTCGTCTGTCTGTGCAAACGTGTCCGGTCCATATCTTTCTTACGGAGGGACATTAGAATCTACTACTCCACACAAAGATTGCCCATGACCTAAGGATGTGTCATGACCTTAACCCAAGGTCATTTGGGGAAGTTCAAGGTCACTGGAAGAACAAGTTCATAATTCGTGTGCGGTCCATATCTTTCTTATGGATAAACCTGGTAGGTTCTCATTTCACACAAAGATTGCCCATGACCCAAGGGTGTGTCATGACCTTGACCCAAGGTCATTTGGGGAAGTTCAAGGTCACTGGAAGAAAAAGTTCATAATTCGTGTCCGGTCTACATCTTTTTTATGGATAAACTTGGTAGGTTCTCATTTCACCCAAAGATTGCCCATGACCTAAGGGTGTGTCATGACCTTGACCCAAGGTCATTTGGAGAAGTTCAAGGTCACAGGAAGTAAAATTCATAATTTGTGTCCGGTCTATATCTTTCTTATGAATAAAATTGGTAGGTTCTCATTCTACACAAAGATTGCCCATGACCCAAGGGTTTGTCATGACCTTGATTCAAGGTCATTTGGGGAAGTTCAAGGTCACTGGAAGAAAAAGTTCATAATTTATGTCTGGTCAATATCTTTCTTATTGATAAACTTGGTAGGTTCTCATTTCACATAAAGATTGCCCATGACCCAAGGGTGTGTCATGACCTTGATCCAAGGTCATTTGGGGAAGTTCAAGGTCACTGGAAGAAAAATTTCATAATTCATGTGTGATACATATCTTTATTATGGAAAAATTTACTTCTGAAAAACCCGGCGGGGGGTATTTTGTCCCGTTTGGACAGTTCTAGTTAGTCTCAGTTTCTTGCTTTTTAATCTCTAAAATAAGAGAAAATTTTCAGACACAGAAGTGATGTTGGGTTGCCAAGGCTCTGTGGTATAAAATGACAAAAACCATGTTATTAAATTATGTTTTAGTAATCAGAAAAGCATTTGTTCTCCATAAATATATGTAAAATCGATGGAATATAAAGTCTTACTGGCAAATGCCAAATCTCACTGTAAAATCTAATAAAAAATACTGAGAGACAAGGATATGGGTAAACAGGTCTGCAATTGGGAAACAAATTCAAATTATTATACCAACAAAATGTTAAAAAAAATCTATGAAAATCTTTTTCTCAAGAACTTTCTCAAGAAGTTATATACAGAATTGATATGGAGGCATTCTCAAGTGGTATTAGAATTCAAGCCCCCCACCCCCCACCCCTCAGTAAACTTTTCAATTCTGATCTGATTTGTGCTTTTCCCTAGCCGATGTGCTCAGATGAGCAATGTGGCCCCTGGGCCTCTTGTTCTTTATTAGATTGGTTAACTTATATTTCCCTGCCTTTTATCACATATTTTATTGCTTTTATTTCACTTTTGCATACATAATTTTTCACTGAAAAGGTAAACAGAAATCTCCTCATCTTTTTGTGTTAATTTTCCATGATAAAATTGGGTGCCAATGCTTAAAGAAAACCACTTAATAATCATACTTATGGTGATCTAAGGTAACACATGGTGAGAAATGCATGGATTGGTTTAGAAAATTTATACAAAGTTTTGTCGTATTTCTATCCTTTTAAATAGGTAATGATGACTCAGTAAGTGTGTGTTCATTTGGAAGTAGAGCAGATCTAGACAGACTACAGGAAATCCCAGTACCCTCTTGGGTTCAAAATGGAGAGAGTGTCATAGTTCAGTCCTCAAAAGGGTCCTCTAATACAGGAGTGGTCAGATTTGTAGGAAACGTGGAGTTTGCAACAGGCCCATGGGTTGGAGTGGAACTTGATTTACCAGAAGGTACCAGTAGCATATTGATAACTTTTTTATACCTCCTTTGAAAAAGTGGGCATATTGCTTTGCACCTGTCAGTCAATCTTTCTATTGAAAGACCATGTGTTGTCCACTCAATATCTTGAGATCCATTTGCTTGACAAATATCAAATTTGGTACACTTGAACCTCCTTGTAAAATGAACCTAATTGTTTTAGAGGTCATAAGGTCAAAAGTCAAGGGCCAAGTTAATCTAGACATAGTCTTATTTATCCAATATTTTAAAAACCATTTTGCTTGACAGACACAACCTGTTATTTAATTTTGTTTGAAGAAAAAGTGATGCAAGTGTTGTGGCCCATGAACCTATGTTTATACATGTTGGGTTCTTCTATTACGTTTCAGATTTAAATGTTAGGAGCCGAAGTGCTAGTACTACACTTGTTCTAAATACTGTGAAATCAAAATTTTCATGCAGGTTTCATTTTGGTTTTTATACGCCCGTCTTATGACGGGACGTATTATGTTATAGGCTTCATGTCCGTCCGTCCGTCTGTCCATTCGTGTCCGGCTCATAACTTGAATACTATTAGGCCTAGGATTATCAAACTTTGTCAACTGATACTTCTTGGGTAGACGGTGTGTCGCGCACAAAAAGTAGGCCGCTCTGACCTTTAATAAAGACGCTATAGCCAAATATGGAAAAATCCTGTCCGGCTCATAACTAGAAAACTATTAGACCTAGAGCTTTCAAACTTGGCAAAAGTATACATCTAAGGTAGAGGGTGTGTCGCGGCCTATTTCAAGGTCACTGTGACCTTTAATTTTAGTGATTTTTTTTTAAAAAAACGTAGTCTTTTAAATTTTAAATTTCATAATCCTAAAAAATGTAAAAATATAGTTGTATCCTTATTAAAAAATGTTAGATTAAGTAAAAACTTATTTTTTCATCACTTTACAGATATCTGTAACAAATGTTAATGTTTTGAGAGGAATTCAGTTTATCTAATGGGCATGATTATCAAGCACTGGTCAAGGAAAATTTTGATAGCAGAAATGTGCATGTCAAATTAGAGAGAAATTAATGAGTTTATTGTCGGGAGCTAACTGGCAAGAGCATCTCTAGATCTGATCATGGAGCTGTTATCTTAATTTATCTCTTGGGAGTTGGGCAAAAAGAAATGGCCTCATAGTTGCTTGTGTTAATTAAGAGTTCTTGATGGCGAAAGTCCAGATAAAGATCTTTCAATTGGTGTAAAGTAATTAAAACAAATTGATGTTTTAGTGTATGATTAAAACTAAATTAGTATTGTATAATATAATTAAAACTAATTATACATGTGTTCATTGAAAAAAAAAATTTACATTTCAATTTTTATATAATTGCAACAAATTGCAGTCATGTCTCACTTAGAATTTTATAGTCTTATTAAAAGAATAATTCATTTTTGATTTTTTTATTAGACTATGTAGACTGTAGCATGTCCATTATTTCATAAAATATGCAATAAACAATTTAAAGCTGCAGATGGATATTTGTTAAGCTCTAACACAGCCAGTTTAGAATTATATGATGTATTATTTGTTATAATTAATCCCTACACTGTAAGTCTCTTAGAGATGTATGTACAATATTTTAAACATGATAAGAAATGGAAATTAGATCATTGAAATCTGTGTCAATCTGTGAATCAAGGTTACTTGATTTTCTTGCACCCCAACCAATTTATGATTATTGAACAATATTTGACGGGCGTATCATGCTGTGGCGGGGCACTTTTTTTTTTCGAGGTATGAAGAGACCCATGAATTTATGCCTATTATGAAATGTGAAATACTACATAACTTCTTCATCCACAAAATCAAATCCCCACAGAAAACGAGATTTTCCTCAAACCATGAAAATTTGACTCCTTGAAAATATTTGATTTTACAGTAAAATATGCTGCCCATTTCTGCATTATTTAAATGAAAAAAATTGTATTTATGAATTTTCAGAGAAGTTGAAGAAAAAATGAAATTAAATTATTTTAAAGAAATGTATTGCTTATATTTTGTAAAATGTATTATATTTGGCGTGTACAATATTAAGCAGAAATTGATTTTTGAACAAGTTAGCGTAGATTTGATTTAGCGCATTTCTTAATGTTCCTATAAATGGATATATGTTTAAGACATTAAGTCTTGTACCTGAATTAGCGGAAGTTTCTTTTCGCCAAAAACACTAAAAAGAATACACCGCCAAATGTATTACATTTACAGTATGTCTCTACCCAGTAGATTTATATGAAGTCTTTTGAGACACTTTTGATGAGAATTGGTACTGATTTTACTAATCCTTCTTGACAGGTAAAAATGATGGCTCTGTTAAAGGCACCAGGTACTTCAAGTGCAGGTCACGCCATGGGATTTTTGTGCGTCATGATAAACTGATATTAGACAAGAAAAGACGAGGGTCGCGTAAGCAAGCCAAAGATTTGGCCAAAAGACACAGCATGGGTAGTCCAGCTAATATGGGGGCCAGTTTGCCTAACAACCAATCCTCTAGTCCAAACAATACAGTTGTTAAAAGCAGTGCGAAAAAAAAATTATAATGGATGTCATATATCTGAAATAAGACTGATGTGATGTTATGAAACTATTCTGATGTTCTCTTTGAAATTTAACATTTCACAAGGAGTTGGGTTTTCCATAATTAATTTGTTCATGAATAGTTTACAAGGCTTTTTTCTTGTATTTATGTCAGACTTCTGTGTAAAATAGCTGATATATAATATATATACAGTTTGTGTAAATGTTAAGCATTTTATTTATAACCAAATGCAGAAATAATCGTGTTTTATTAGATTTGTTACATGATTAAAAGCACTCTGGCATTATTGTATGTAAATTGTGCATTTGCATCATTTAATGATTTCATATGTTCATTTTTGCTGATTTTTGCTAAATGCTGTCTTTACAGCTAGATAATATTGATGAGCTTTCAGTATTAAAGTTATTAACTAAAGTGATATTTCCCAACATGTCATAGGGGAAACTCCACAAATATGTGTTGTGCTAAATTTTAGAATGTGAAATTTATTTGAATGCTTCCATGGCTAAACAAAGAGAGCCTTTGAAGTTGTAGGAAAATCCCAAGACATGGATCTCTATAATGTAAGAAGGTCTTCCAGCAGACGTTAAAGAGAGGAAGGATAAATTGTGAGCTGTGAGAAATTGACATGTACTTGTGAGAATCTATATAAATCATGTCAAAAAGGCACTTGTAGGCTAATATGTTGAGGGATTAGGATTTTTGTGACATAAACATTTTTGTACTTAATATTGAATCAACAATCTTTATCTCACCTGAGGCAAAAGAAAAAGTGAACTTTTCAGATCAAATTTGTCCATTGTTTATCATTCCTTTTTCAAAGTTAACAGTTCTTGAAAAACACTAGGTCAATTTCAACCAAACATAGCAACAACAAAAAAGATTTTCAGAGAAAGGAAACTGAAGTCTATTTGCCCTTTCAATGCAAGATAATTAGAAGTATAGTTAAATGGCATCCTTAAAAATCTTATGAAAAAGGGAGAAAAAAAATATTAAAATCGAACTAAAAAGTGATTAAAAATTTTGATCACAAGGAGGATAAAAAAGTTTTACAAAAGATGAAGGTCGCCATTAAAAATCTGAATAACGCCTTTTTTTTTCTATTTTTTTCAAATCACAAAGAGTAACGCGCGCAAGAAGTTTTACATAGAAATATGGGAAAATCTCTTTAAATATCTTACAACAACATACTTTTGCAACAGTACACCTGTCAAGAATTCTTGACCCTAAAAGGTGGGCCACAATATAATAATTTCTATGAATAAACGCTGTTTATGAAGAACAACAGGCCATAAATGACGCACCTTTTCTTTGTAGGGATCTATTAATTCAGAGGTGCAATAGCTTCAATGAAATTACTTAAATAAAACATTCTTATCACCTTTATTTTATTTCGGCGTTAGGAAAGTATATTTAACACATTGTACACATTACATTATATCATATCTAACCCAGGAACACTAAAGCAGTGAAACGTAAATCATAAGTTTTTTTATAATTTTTTGACACTGAATTGCAACGTTCTATTACAGAATTTGAGTGTCCAAGTAGTTTTTTGCATTTCATGTATCCTTATGTCAGAATGGTTTAATCAAACCAGCTGCCTCCATAAGCCCCTACTCGCGAAATGTCGGAATATACAGAGACAGTGCCAAATTGGGCCCGCTTCAGATTTTCAAATATTAATATCTAGAGTTCAATTAACCAATATTAAAACAACTTATATAGTAGCATTTAGAAGTGTCTTTATTAATATTTTAAAAATAAATGAAAAATATTGAAAAACAAAGAAAGTTGAGAATTTGGACTTTTTGAATTGGCTTCCGGTAGCGACAGGAAGTACTGACGACGAACGAAAAGTTGCGTCCTGGAAAGTATTGATCATCATCTATAAACTCTGAAAGTTTCACATTGATATCTTTTACCGTTTTTGAGTTTAATCGTGGACAAAATGTCATTTTAAAATTTGATTAGGAAAATGGTAATCCAAAACTTGGCACCAGAGAGGAATTTCCAAAAACAATGTCTTGGAATCTTTTTCAAGAGTATCTTAAACACATTGAAAATTTCATGTAATTCTACACAAGGAATATATGTGTCAAAAAAAGTGTGTAATAATAATAAGAAACAGAGCAATAACTATAAGGTCTTCCGTGAAGACGGAAGACCTTAAAAAAAAAGATTTTCAGAGAGAGGAAACTGAAGTCTATTTGCCCTTTCAATGCAAGATAATTAGAAGTGTAGTTAAATGGCATCCTTAAAAATCTTATGAAAAAGGGAGAAAAATGAAATATTAAAGCTTTATTTCATAATGTAGAATCTAAATTTATCAAAAATGTTCCCTGAGGTTAGGATGAGACTAAGTATAGGATAAAAAAGTTTTACAAAGGATGAAGGAAACACTCATTAAAAATCTCTTGATCAATAACTTCAAATCATCTTCAACAAGGAAGTGTAAATTCTATTTTTTTCAAATCACAAAGAGTAAGGGTGCACCATGCAAGAAGTTTTACATAGAAATATGGAGGGAAATCTCTTTAAAATCTTACAACAACAAAGCTATGTTTAGTGGTTTATGCAAAGGAATCTAGATTCAATTCTAAATTTTTGACCCACTGTACAGTGGGCCACAATATAATTCAAAAGTTCTACCTATGAATATTGGAAAAGATCTGTTTATGAAGAACAACAGGCCATAGTGACTCAGGTGAGCATTGTGGCCCAAGGGCCTCTAGTTTAATTCACTGTTGTTTTATTAACTGAAAATGAAATAATTTACAGTTTATTAACAAAATTCAATTTTACTCTCTGTTGTATAACTGTTACCATAATCATAAATACCTTATGGCTGTGTTCTGTGATCAGAGATCTTGCAATGCTTTTGATGTTAAGTAAATGTTTTAGTGAGTGGAAGGGAGTGAGTGACTACTCCTTGGCAACATCACAGGGTCTTAAATCTCCGAAGATTTTTTTTTCTGTTACTGGAGTAAAAAATAATGCAAGGTCATATGACTGGTGCCAAGTTTATATGTCTGGATGAATGGCAATATAAATGTACTGAGGAAATAGATTTATGAAGTACATGTACTGATAATAATATCAACTTATCATTAATATGGCAAAACAAATTTGTAGCAGATTCAAACTTAACGTTGTTAAGATAATGCCTGATGTATTGTATGATCATCTACACTGAAATTTAAATCTTGAATTTTGATGATGAGGGTGCAGTTTATTGTTATGAAATATGAATTAAAACAATTTTTAAGTAGATATCTATATCTCAAACCCAGATATTTTTCCATATGAAGCTTTTATTTCCTTACTAGCCAAGCCATTCTAGTTTAAGCCACTCCCCACAAACTTTGAACTCTCTATAAAAATTCCAATTTTTAAAAAATTATTTTTTGATATATTTTTAAATTTTTTCGAGAGATAGAGAGAGAAGAGAGAGATGATATTTGACAATTTTTTTTAGTTTATAAGCAACAATATTAGTATTGGTATTGCCAATATATGTGAGATTTTTCTTGCCATATGTTCCATTGAAAGAAGAGATCGCTTCACAGATAAATTTGTTAGGACTAGTATGTCCATAATTCTAAGAAATGCAATGATATGAACCAAAGTTGAATTGGACAGAATGTGACATGGTGAATGCTTGACAAGGTCTAACATTTAATCACAACTTGATTGTGGCTCTTTAACTCCTACTATTGTATCTGATCCCTCCCTGATTTCAGAAGTCCCTGCTGGCAATTTGTATCAGTTTTTTCAATGGACTTTTCACCTTCATTTCTATATATACATTATTCTCATTTTTCATGGTAATATTTGTTGTGGGAGGTCACATAACACATGATAATGTGACTTAATCTACCAGGCCATTTCACATGATAATTTGACTTAAGCTACCTAGCCATTTCACATGCTAATGTGATGTAATCTACCTGGCCATTTCACATGATAATTGATAATGTGACGTAATCTACCTAGCCATTTCACATGCTAATGTGACGAATCTACCAGGCCATTTCACATGCTAATGTGATGAATCTACCAGGCCATTTCACATGATAATGTGACGTAATTTACCTAGCCTTTTCACATGATAAGGCCATTTCACATGATAATGTGACAAATCTACCAGGCCATTTCACATGCTATTGTGACGAATCTACCAGGCCATTTCACATGATAATGTGATGTAACCTAGCCATTTTACATGATAATATGACATAAGCTACCTAGCCATTTCACTGATAATGTGACGTAATCTACCTAGCCATTTCACATGATAATGTGACATAAGCTACCAGGCCATTTCACATGATAATGTGATGTAATCTACCCAGCCAATTCACATGATAATGTGACATAAGCTACCTAGCCATTTCACTGATAATGTGATGTAATCTACTTAGCCATTTCACATGATAATGTGACATAATCTACCAGGCCATTTCACATGATAATGTGACCTAATCTACCTAGCCATTTCAAGAGGTTTTGTGAGGAGTGGAGTTGGTTAGAAACACTTAGCTAGTGATGATACAGTTACTATTCTTCCGAACAAACTCTGTGTTCAGGCATGGGGGCCATAAAACTGAGATGAGCACACTTTTGATCTCAGTCTCACTTTTCCACTATATATTCCTTTCACAATAAAGTGAGACTACCAGATTTCAAAAGTGAGGAGAGCTCGTAGAAACACTTAAGTTTTATGGCCCCCAGGCCAGTCTCTTCCAAAGAAAATATTTTTCAGATATTCAATATGCATTTTGTTAGAGAAGATAAACTAAAGTTTATTGTTGTTATGTAATTGAATTAATTATTTATTGATTGGCACTAAAATACTCAAGCTTCCATGTGCATAATTTACACTTTCATAAGTACTTTAAGAAATGTACACTTCACAAAGTAGAATTAGGACTTTCAAAAGAAGTACATAGCCTTACGGGGCCAAAGTTTCTTAATACATGCCATTAGATATTGTTTTTATGTTTTTTGCACTGATATTGCATAAATTACTGTAGCAAGTGCAGCACAAATTTGAGGTTGTTACAAAAGCTTTGGTATAGTTATTTTGTTACTGTGTCTATGTTGTGATGTGGTTAGGCAGAGGTGAGAAAGACATTCCACTTGTATCTACATTATACATCTTTTTTGCATTAGATTCCATCATATAACCAACATTTTGTTTAAACAGAATTGTCTTAATGTACAGTGTATTTCAATCATTTGAATGGGTTAATGGCCAATGAATGAAGAATTACACTTTATGTTTATGGCTTGAGAATGTTTCTGACATGTTGACAACAATTATAGACATTGTTGTGTTATATTAGCTGATTTTGTTTATCTTGTTTAAATTGCTGATGTTTTTGAAAATAAAAAATGTGATTTTAATTATTTTAAAATAATCATTTATTTATTAAGTTATTTTTAAAAAATTTTTTTATGCCATTATACATCAGTATTATGAACTGAGAAACTTGTGAAAGTCATTGAACTATTCACTTGAAGCATTTCATTTCCCTTACATTTCATCTTGAAACTCATCTGGTTTTATCCCGGTTGTGTCTTGGTATAATAAAATTTCTATTTACTGATTATTTGGACAATAGCAAGTTTATTATCCTGCTCAGCAGCAACAATTTTTAGCTCACCTGAGCTTAAAGCTCAAGTGAGCTTTTCTGAACACCTATTGTCCATCCATCTAGCTGTATATCTGTCCATCCATCTGAAAACTTTTTAGCTCACCTGAGCCGAAGGCTCAAGTGAGCTTTTCTGATCACATTTTGTCCGTCGTCCGTCCGTCCATCCGTCTGTCCGTCCGTCTGTGTGTCTGTCTGTCCGTCTGTAAACTTTTCACATTTTCGACTTCTTCTCAAGAACCACTGGGCCAATTTTGACCAAACTTGGTACAAAGCATCCTTGGGTGAAGGGGAATTTAAATTGTTAAAATAAAGAGACATATCCCCTCGCAAGGGGAGATAATCAAGGAAAGACAAAAATAGGGTGGGGTCATTAAAAAATCTTCTTCTCAAGAACCACTGGGCCAGTAAAGCTGAAACTTATGTGGAAGCATCCTGGTATAGTGTAGATTCTAAATTGTTCACATCATGACCCCCGGGGGAAGGGCGGGCCACAATGGGGAATCAAAGTTTTATATAGAAATATGTAAGAAAAATCTTTGAAAATCTTCTTCTCAAGAACCACTGGGCCAGAAAAGCTGAAACTTATGTGGAAGCATCCTGGTATAGTGTAGATTCTAAATTGTTCACATCATGACCCCCGGGGGAAGGGCGGGGCCACAATTGGGTATCAAAGTTTTATATAGAAATATATAGGAAAAATCTTTGAAAATCTTCTTCTCAAGAATCACTGGGCAAGAAAAGCTGAAACTTATGTGGAAGCATCCTGGTATAGTGTAGATTCTAAATTTTTCAAATAATGACCCCCGGGGGAAGGGCGGGGCCACAATGGGGTATCAAAGTTTTACATAGAAATATATAGGAAAAATCTTTGAAAATCTTCTTCTCAAGAACCACTGGGCAAGAAAAGCTGAAACTTATGTGGAAGCATCCTGGTATAATGAAGATTCTAAATTGTTCAAATAATGACCCCCGGGGGAAGGGCGGGGCCACAATGGGGAATCAAAGTTTTATATAGAAATATATAGAAAAAATCTTTGAAAATCTTCTTCTCAAGAACCACTGGGCCAGAAAAAGTGAAGCTTATGTGGAAGCATTCTGGGGTAGTGTAAATTCTAAATTGTAGGAATCATGACCCCCGGGGGAAGGGCGGGGCCATTATAGGGAATCAAAGTTTTACATAGAAATATATAGGAAAAATCTTTGAAAATCTTCTTCTCAGGAACCACTGGGCAAAAAAAGCTGAAACATATGTGCCCATGGAAGGATCATGGGGTAGTATAGATTTCAAAATGTCTAAATTATGATCAGTGGGGTGAGGTGGGGATGCATTATGTATAACAAGGGGGAAATCCGGTAAAGAACAGAATGGTCGAAGCTTCTCAGGTGAGCGATGTGGCCCATGGGCCTCTTGTTACTTTTTAGCTCACCTGAGCCAAAGGCTCAAGTGAGCTTTCCTGATCAAAATTTGTCTGTCGTCTTTCGTTGTTATTGCTGTAGTCTTTGTCATCGTCATAGTCGTCGTAAACTTTTCACATTTTCATCTTCTTCTCAAGAATCACTGGGCCAATTTCAACCAAACTTGCCACAAAGTAACCTTGGGTGAAGGGGATTCAAGTTTGTTCAAATGAAGGGCCAAGCCCTCTTCCAAGGGGAGATAATTATGAATTAATGAAAAATTAATGGCATCTTTTATAAATCTTCTTCTCCAGAATCATTGGGCCAGGAAAGATGAAACTCATGTGGAAGCATCCTCAGGTAGTGTACATTAAAGTTTCTTCAAATCATGACCCCGGGGGGTAGGGTGGGGCCACAGTGGCTGATCAAATTTTAACATAGGAATATGTAGGAAAAATCTTTAAAAAATCTTCTCCAGAACCACTGAGCCAGGAAAGATGGGACTCATTTGGAAGCATCCTCTGGTAGTGTAGATTTAATTTTGTTTAAATCATACCCTCAGGGATAGGGTGGGGCCATAATGGCCGATCACAGGTTTACATAGGAATGTATAGGACAATTCTTAAAAAATCTTGTTCTCCAGAACCACTGGATCAGGAAAGATGAAACTCTTATGGAAGCATCCTCAGGTAGTATAGATTCAGTTTTGTTCAAATCATGACCCCTGGGGGTAGGGCCCGACCACATCTGACGATCAAAGATTTACATAGGAAAAATTTGAAAATCAAGAACCACTTGGCCAGGAAAGATGAAACCTATGTGAAATCATTCTCAAGTACTAGTAGTGTACCAGTAGATTTAAGATTCATAAACCCTCTGCTCACTCATATAAAATGTTGCTTGAAGCTTAATGATTTTCCAAAAGAACTATATTTTATAGGGATGTCAACGAATATTCGAATATTCGAATATTCATTCGATGAGTTGATATTCGAATATAAATTTATGATTCGAATATTCGTTTTTAAGTGTACAAGCATTTAAAAGAGAGAAAAACCTGGCAAGTTTTATTAGAAATTGAATCAAGTTTGTACAAAATTAAAAGACACTCCTCCTCTTGGATTACCTTAAGGTGTGAAGAGTGTATCAAAGTAATTTATTCATTTGTTCACTTAATTAGTGGTATAATAGTGTCCAGTACATACAATCAGCTTGTATTGTAGGACACAGTTTTACAGTAAACACATGGATCTCTTGTTAATGTAAATATAATTAAAACCATTATCAGGAAATTAATTAGCAAAAAGTAATTGCTTTTAATTTTACTCCGTTAGATAATTGTTCTGCTTGGTATAATTTTTTTTAGAGTTATCAGTGTAGGTTTTAGTAAGACGATCAATTAATCTGGATCATGGTAAAAAATCTTTTGAATTAAAAAAAATTGTTACAATTTTTATGTATACTCATCATATATTTGATCATTTAAAAAAAACATAATTGCTATGCATTTACCAAACTTGACATGAGTTTGTATTCCAAAATAATGGCATAAAACCTATACTGGTTGACAGGAGAGTGAAGATAAATATTTTATAATTCAAGATGTATTTGTTCCATCGAATATTCGAATATATTCGAATACTCCTATCGAATATTCGAATATCAATTATTGACAATTTTGACATCCCTAATATTTTATAAGTGAAATACAAACGATTAAAGAATAGCTTGCTGGGCAAAATTGGACAAAAAGACACTTCAACCCGACAAGTTTATTAGCTCTTCTGAGCCAAAGGCTCAAAGAGCTAATGCTATGGCCATTTGTGCGGTGTGCGTTAACTTTTTAGAATATGGGCCATAACTCAAGAACCCCTTGGCCAATCAGTGTCAAATTTGTCACAGGGTATCCTTGGCCCAAGGGCTACCATTTATACTAAAATAAGTAGGGATGTCAAATCGGTCAATTTTTAATACTCGGTTACTCGGACGTTTTTCCGATCGAGTACCCGGGTACTCGGTAAAAGTCTAAATAAATATGAACAAGTTAATTGATAACTGTAAAACATTGAAATAAAACCACATGGTCTGATGGGAGGTTTACCGTAACCTGTGTTGTAACAATTATGACCACTTTGTGCCCGACGAAATTTAATCTAACAT